TGTATTTTTTTCGTAAAGTACAGTTATTAAGCTTTCTTATGATATATAGTTTGTTGGGGTTTTATTGAAACTGGCGCGCGTACGATTTTTTTCCCAAAGGGCACCCGCAAAGGTGGGAAGTAACCTTAAGTTATAATTTTTATTCAGACATCATTTATTTAAAACTATATACTAAGTCTTGCTTGAAAATCTACCTGTCTACAGAGTCTTGATGTTACATGGCAACCACCACCAAAAGACTATAGAAATGGCATCATAACAAAATATGTGATTTCCTATAAAGAAAGTAGTCCCAGAAGTCTTCAAAGTACGTTAGAAGCTCCAGGGCACATACTAAAGAAAACAATAAATGGATTGTCCAAAGGGAAAACTTACAGCATTACAGTGTCTGCAGCTACTGTGATAGGCAATGGACCAGCAAGCAGACCAGTGACTGGAACAGTACTTCTTCAGTCAACCAATGGTAATGATAAAATGCTAAGCAGTTACATGTCTGCTCTGGAAGCTAGTCACATTAAGAAATCTCTTGGATATAATAATAATATAATATAAAACATATTTATGCAGGATAACAATTTCAGTTATAAAAACTGCTATCAATGTGGTAAATGAATAATTAAATTTTAAATAATTAATAAAATGAAATATATAATATGCAAAAATCTAATAAACCTATATAAAAATCTAAAAATATAAATATAAAAAGAGATAAAAAGACTAGTCAAGATTTAAGTTCATATACAATTATGTTGAAACCATGACAAAGCGCTACCAGTGCAAACTTGCAACTGTTTATTTTGTATGGCAGATGGAAGCATGTAATAATAACCCTGAAAAGAATATACGTTGTTGTAAGTGAACAATTTGTTGTCGTACTCCATGATGCCTGTTATCAACACATACAGTTTGTTTTAACACTAAAATGTAAATGTGTATTTTGAAAATTATATAATGTAATATTTTTTTAAAAACGTGATTTTTACCTTAAATGCCCTTGAAAACCAGAATCACCTACTCCAAAAAAAAGTCTTACCAATCCACCTCTCCAACCTGTTGAATGGACTGTGAAAATCCTTTTCTTTAATTTTGTTTTTTCCATTTCGTTTTGAAACAGTAATTAGTCCACCAACCCTATGGATAGCTGCAAAAAACTCAACTGTATTGAATGTAAAGTGGCTTCCTCCAAAATATGGTCAGGATTTTGTAAAAGAGTACCATTTATTTTATGTCCAACTTCAAGATGGCAAAACTGAAAAAGGTCCCTTCATTGTTGGAAAGCAACATCGAAGCTATACTCTTAAAGGCTTGAGTAAGTTATAATTCTTTGTGTACTAATGGAATGTTTAAGCCCATACAGGCTATAGTGAATTTCAAGGTATTTTTTTTTTTTTTTGAAATACTGTTATAGGGGATGGAGTTGATAGAGTTAAGGGAGGGAGAGTTATCACATAAGAGAAATAGAGTGGACTTTTCAAGCTTCTGAGTTGTTTAATTCTGTATTTCAACATAATAGAAACAAGCAAGATGCTGTGACAGTATTACTGTGCCTTTCAATAACATCCAGACTCTAAAATTCAAAGCTCAACTGACAAATGTGTTTTTCGCTACCGTCGATCAAATGTTCGGTGGTTCCTCCCAGCTTCCGAAAATTGCGGAGCACACGGTAATTAAATCGTTGAGCACAGTTCAGACAACGAAACAGTGCTCAACAGTAGTCGGAAGCTGGTAAGAGTCGTCGAACGTTTAATTGCTGGTAGCGAAAAAACGCATTTGTCAGTTGAGTTTTGAATTTTAGAGTCCGTATATTATTGAAAGGCACGGTAATGTCAGCTTTGCACAGGTTTTGAATGTGGACAACCCATTCACAACATCATCATACTGTACAAAAGACAGCTAGAAGAGGACTGGAAGATTTGCAACAACTAACTGTCGAAAGAGAAAAGGGATTTCAAATGTTAACAATCAAACTTGTGTGCTGTTATTGTAATGCAGCTCAAACTGTTCATGCTGTGTGTGCTTTGAAGTTGAGGAGAAATGTGCTGATAGCAGGACTTGTTTCCTTCATAGGTCCAGGAAGCCAGTTTGTCATCAAAGTGATGGCCTGGGATGGTAAAATGTTAGGTCTTCCAGGAGCAGTTCATGCTGTAACTGACATAGGTATACATAGTTGTATAACTTGAATCATAACTCATTTGACAGGCTACCATGTGTGTTGTGTTATGCGCATTACAAGAAGTCTCCATGGACGAACATAGTAAATCTGAGTTAACAACTGATGTGTCTACTCAAAATCATAAACGGCATTATTTTCTCAAGTGTTAAAATGCTTGCCTTGAGCCGCAAAATAACTTGTGCTTTGTCAGAAGAGTTACTTGAATCAATGTATGAATGCAATTGAAGCTAGAGCTCATCATTACTTTATTCTAGCCTTTTTTTATTCCAGTGAGAAACTCCAAACATTGGAACTACTTTATTGCCCTAAGGTCAGACAGTCAGAACATAGCATTGATCAGCATTTGTCTCAGTCTTGACACATTGTGTTTCCCTATTTGCATTTTTCTGCAGATCCAGCTGCTCCACGTCCCTCACCTAATCCCTTCAGACTACCACCATCAGCACCAATTCATTTGGTATGCAGTGTTGAAAGCCCAACTTCAATCCTCTTAACATGGCAAAGACTAATGTCTTCTGAACGGATAGCTTACTACACAGTGAAATATTACCCAAGAGGTGTGTTAAGTCCTGTACGTGTGGAGAGAAAAGTTTACTCTGAGAGCATCATTATGGCTGGGCTTACTCCTGGAAAAGAGTACTCAATTTCTGTTCAATCTCATCATGAAGATGAAGCAAATGGTCTTCCTGATGTCAGCACAACCCAAAAGTACTGTAAAATACCTCTTACAGGTATGATACGTAACTGGCTTTATCTGCAGTTGTAGTCACTAGTTTTATGTTATTGGTGGGTGGGTGAGAGGGGGATGGGGTGTTAGGCTCATTTATCAGCTGCTGTTCAGAAAGAACCCCAAGGAATGCAATAACAGCTGTGTAACACTCACTACCTTTTACTCGATTCTTGTTTCAGAGCCAAGTTCTCCACCAAGAAATGTAAAATTTGAATTCAGGACTGTCAGGTCGGTAGATATCAAGTGGGAGCCACCTGTTGAGTCAAATGGAGAGGTCACTAGCTATGAAATTTTTTACACATATAACAGCTCCTACCCAGATTCCAAATGGATGGTAGAGACGTACCCCTTGGGACTGTTTAGCAGTTATGCAAAGGAGTTAACTGCAACATTAATCGTGACCAAAGAGGACTCAACATTTTATCTTAAGATTCGTGCAAAGAACAAACAAGGTTATGGGCCTTTTTGTAAAACTGTTATAGTTCAACCACCATCTATATCACCCAGAGAAGCTCCTAACGTCACATACACAATCATTTCATCAAGTATGGTGCAGCTCTCATGGTTTTGTCCAAGGGTCTTTGATGCATTTATTGAAAGTTTCACTGTCCTCTTCACAAATGACAAAAACCTCCCCGAGGACAAGTGGAGGGCGCAGACAGTTGTCATTGCTTCTTCAGATAGGTTTCCAGACCTAGTGACAACAACAGTGACTGTGAAGCAAATCAACACATACTATGTTAAAGTTCGTGCAGAGTATGATGACAAAATTCCAGGGAAGTGGTCAAAGATCTTAAAGTTATTTCCAGACAAACCAGGTAAATAAAGATATTGAGGAAGTACCACACAGAGTTAATTTTGTTATTGAGTAAATTATTCCATCTACCCATTATGTGGCTCATTTTAGGCAGTTCTTTGCTTTAACAGATTTTGAGATATTGTTTCTGTTACTGAGGAAATCCTTGTTTCAGTGCAAGGAACTGCTGAAAATGAACACCATTTTGGGTTGAAAGGAGGTAGTTTTTGGAATTGATCTGTAACTGCTTGATTTTATATATTGTAGAATTACTTATTATCTACTGAGAAAGTTACAAATGCTGCACAATAAGCGTGCAATTTCTTCATTTACCAGCCATTCTGAACAAAACTCCTACTCCCTTTCACTACATGGCTTTGAGTTTGGTCTGAGATTCAACTCCTCCATGCTTTGTAAAATTTATAGCCAAGTGGTCAACCTCCTGCCACTCTGGGTTCTAACTATGTTGTATTTAAGACGCTAACATTCACAAAGCTAAAAAGTTGAAAATGTAAAGGAAAAACAGAATGTGTTAGACTAGCAAGTCATCTTCATCTATGTGATGTATACCTATTTCATAAATTAAACATGGCCCCAAAAGTTTCTATGCTTTAAACACAAAAACCTAAATATTCAAGTTGCTTTACCCTTTTTCAAGAACCACAGCAATGCATTTTTCTCTTACTGCATTTTGTGAAAGAAGTCTTGGCTCTAAGCAGGAAACAAGCTCATGACAAAGTGTTCAGTTGGTTGTCATGATAGTCAGAATGATCGCCATGCAAATAATTATGAAAATGCAGAAATTTGAAATCTTAAAAGAACAAGATAAAAGTATTGTTAATAACTGAAAGTACTTTTTTCAGCACCAAAAGATAACACGTCACTGGAAGATCCCACCCAAGAGCCTGGAATATCACAATTCAAGGATAACCCAGAATTTAATGTAAAGCTTGGCATCATCATTGGATGTGCAATCAGTGCCTTCTGTATTGTGGTACTTCTTCTATTCATTGTGTGGAGAAATCCTTGCAGGTTAGTACAAAGCTCCGAGTAGTTTTATCAGAGGCAGCGTGGCCGAGTGGTTTAGGGTGTTGGTGTTGTAATCCGGAGGTCCCAGGTTCAAGGCCTCCACCCTGCCACTAGCGGGATTTGTTTCTCGGTATTTCCGAGTTCAAATCCTTGGTCATGCTTTATAAATAGCCAACTGGTCTGCCTCCTGCCAGTTGTGATTTTTAACTGTTGCAATTACTTGAAATACTTGTTTCCTTTGTTTCAGTGGCATGCCTGTGAACTTGTAGGTACATGTAAGCTTAGTGCTTGTAAAGTCAAGTGCATGACCACTATAAATAAGATTTACATTATTTTTTTTTACATTTAAAGGAAATTATATCCTTGTTTTGTCTTCCTGAAACCCCTTCTAACTCTTAAACTCTACATCAACATGTGAATTCTCTCTTGATTTTTATGTAGTAAGGAGAGTTTATTAAGCCATCTCCCCTTGATCAGTCCTATATTGCAATTGAAAATCAGTTGGTTTGTATCATGTGCTTTCTCTAATGAATGCAATACTAGAAAACATTTTCTGGACTTGAATGAATGATGCTCCCACAGTCTGTCCTGCTTTCATGAGAGCTACTGAGATCCAAACTTGTCCATATGATTTCTGACCAAAGTTTTCAAATTCACAGGTCAGTGACAAGAACAAAAATTGCCATAGGCTTTGATTTACTGGTTTAGTCAGACTGAGAAAAGCTTCCTCTCCTTAAAATAGGTTGACAAACTGGTTGGTAAATATTTCATGTGCATCCTTGTGATCCTACTTGAACATATCTGGTGGTGCCTCAGGAATGTTTAGCAGATCAATAAAGATGCTTTGTAAACCAGTGCTTATTCCACGTGTTTTATCTTTGTTTTTAGAAAAGTACCTTTAAAACAGAGCAGAGAGAAAACAACTGTAAATGGACTTCCACCTCTGAGTGGGTTTCTGCCACATCATCAGCAGATAGCTGCCTCTGCAAGGCAAGATAACAGTGCATCAACTGAAGAAACATCAGCCAGTTCAGGGATGTGTCAGTGTAGATGTACTTGTGGAGGTGAGTGCACTTCAACAACCAGTTGCGTGGTTCTTGGCTAGAGTTTTAATTCATTGGCTTAAAGTAACTGTTCTTTAGATTATTTCAGTTCATTCAGTGGTGGTTCTCTAGCTTTTCTGAAGTATTACTGTTTTGGGATCTAGTAGCTTGTTTAACCTTTTTTTTGTAACTTGGCAAGTTGAAAAAATAGATAACCATTGATTTTTCATGCAAGGTGTTTATTTTGGAGAGCAAGGGGTAAATAATACATTTTAACGCAAGAATATATTTTTTGTTTTCTTTCTCAGCCGGCAGATGGCCATTAGGACCAACAATGGTATGCTACATTTTTAATATCAAAGCCTATTTTTGGCACAGTATACATTACTAATTAATTTTGATTGTCTGAAAAATATGAAAATTTCCTGTGTAGAATCGTTCCTGAACAGGTTTTAGATTTGTTGAGCCCTTTGATCAATGTGGCAGTAAGACTGCCAAGCCAAGAGGTCGCTTTAACTAGCTTTAAACAAGTCAAGCCATAAAGCATTGTCATCTTAGGGATAATTTAGTTGCAAACCCATTACAAAATTATTGGTTACACTTATTTACAGAACCTTTTTTCAAAACGTTCATTAAAAGGCCATCAAAATTATTTTTTGCGTTTTAACGGGTTGGCCTTTTTAATGAGGTAGGGTCAAATGTCATCACTGGTCTAAATTGAGTGATGTCGTAACAGATATGTGGCAATTGCACCTCTAAACAACTGACCTTTAATCTGTACATACAATATTAACAATGAAAAGATAAACATAATTGGTTTGAGTTGCTGTCTAAACAGGGTAAAAATTATTATAAGGGATTATAGAGGTTGGGATTTCAGGATGTGGCTGTTGGCCGTAAGAAGTGGTTGTAATAACAAGGTGACCATATTAACAAGATGACCTTAGGCAGGGTTTCACTGTAGTACTATATGTTTGATGAGCCATATACTTGCAAACTTTTGCATCTGGCTTGAAGTTATAGATTTGACACCATGAGTTTTCCCTTATTCTCTATATTTCCAGCTCAATGTTCTAAGTGTGGAACTGAGCCACCAAGTTGTGATTTTAAGACATGAACTTGTTGAATATTCTTCAGGCAAGAGCCAACAACCATTTGCCTGGTAGCAGTGATAGTTCCACTCCCATGACTCGGCAGATGTTTACAAGTTCTACACCAGGAGGGGATAGGTAATTTATTGTTCATTAAGCTTTCTCCTCATTTAAAATTTGCAAGGCATTTATATAGCTGTTGCTTAAATATACTAAGCTGCAACAAAATGTTTCCTACTATTTTTCCTAATAATCACCAGGTGCAAGCTACTGACCCATTCTATTGTAAAAGGAACAGTATTTTTTGGTACACGCCTTTTCCACAAACCTCATTAGGTTCTTTGAAGGCTGGATAATGCTATCCACTGGATAGTGATTAAAAATTTGAGACCTTGGTATTCAAATTTATAGGGGCTCGACATCAGTTTTTATAAAGTGACCACAGTGAATGTAGTCATCTGTCATACTGAAAGAGTGGTGTAAAATGGCTTTCACTGGACTGTCATCTAAGCTGCCTGTCTTTGGTAGATACATTTTTAATCATGGGACTTTCCAGCCTCTAGATTACATGGCCAAAATTTGAAACTCTGTATATATAAATCTCTCCAAAGAAGCTCACTTTCAAGACTTAAATCATGTTGACCTTAAAATGAACGTCCTGTTACACAATGTTTTTGGTCTCTGCAGTGAAGAAAGTGGAGGTCAGCAAGATTTCAGAAGTGAGAGAGGTTTGTTGTAATAGTTATCATCAACATAGTTAATTAATTAGTTGGAACAAGATAATACGAAAACCTAGTTACTGGTGTGCAAATATCAATTCATTGGGACATAATTGCTTCCATGGCAACAGTGAACAGTCTAGCTGCTGCTAGAAAGAAAGGGTTTATACTCAGCCCAACGTAGCCCACTTTGCTGCAGTGTATCCTGGTTTGTCAGTCACACGAAACTGTAAGAAGTATTGCTATTTTCCCTGGATGAGAGCCTAGTCCATTCCAGTGTACCTCTTAGCTCTTTCCAGGTGTCTCTTACAGTGTGTTAGTACCCATTTGTACTCTGGGATGGAGAGAGGCACTGTTGGAGAACAGTGCCTTGAACGAGCCAGTGCTGAAATGTAAACCACTCAACATAAGGCCACAGTGGCTTGTGTGAGTCTCCAAGACTTTCTGTGTTAGGTGTGAGGTGTGATTAAATCTATTTTTTTCCATGAAACATGATTTCTATAGTTGATTCATAATCATTGAATTTAATTTTTTTTCACATGCATGTGGGCATCACTTGTGAACAAAGAGTACAAATTTGTGAATCATCTTGTTTGTGTCAATTGCTTTCTGGTAATTTTAGTGTTCTACGTGATGCCTGCCATTGTTTCAGCTCTTTGATTGGGTGCCTACATCAATTGTAATCCCTGTTTTGCTTTCTCTTAATGAGAAAAGTGATAAATTTCTTGGTGAATGTGAAAGAATTGATCTTGTTTGTGACATTTGAAAAGGCACAATATTTTGATTGATTGAATTTTACAAATAGTATAGGGGATCATCTCCTGTGCCTCTAATATTTATATTGCTATTTTTAATTTGATAGATCATAATAATCCAGGATCCTCCTCAAGTAGCCTTTCTGCTGAATTACACAGAGATGAACAGATCAATACAATACCAGTAAGCAACATTTTCTTATGNTTTTCTTATGTTAGCTTCTTTTCCAGGTTTCAGTGTATCTTAATGTCCATGCTCTTCAACTGTATTCCCCAGTTTTTGATGGGGAATATTCAGTAGTGTGATACGTTAACACCAAACTGGTGCAAGTGAAACTCCTCTATCACTCGGATATTCCCCAATTTTCAAAACCGCTCGTGTTGTAAAAGATATTTGAAGGATAATAAACTCAATAGCCTCCATTTTGGGCAAAAATATGCTCAGCGTTTTGTCCTTGGACATCTGTTCCACAAAACTCAAAGGTTTCTTTGAGCTATGCTCTCTGAAAACTGCTCGCTTCTCGAAAAAGATTATGTCCTCGGACAAATAACCAAGCATATTTTCATGTCAAATGGGGGCTATTGTTTATATATTGTTGCACGTTTGAATCACTCCACTGTATACATGTGATTGTGTTACATGTCAATGATTTTACTTACACAAATATTATTCCTCAATTTCTTAGGCCTCATCTAGAAGTCACATGAAGAGCATATCTGTTGAAGTATGAACTGTAATTCACCACTTGGATGTTGTTTGTTTAAGGTCAATGTTTCTTAGTTACGTTCTTCAAGAATTAAGCTTGGGGCATGTTTCAAAACTTACAGATTTCTGTTGCAATTAGAGCTTGCAAAACATTTAATTAATGCTGGTTTTTAACGTAATATTGATAATTTTTATAAGTAACTTATTTCTTACAAAAAGTTATGACAGGCTTCCTCATCTGATGGGATCATAATTATGTCCATTAGTAAATGTCATGATCTATAGCTTTTCAAAAAGGGGAGCTACTAATAAAATGTATTACGACAATATTAGTGGTTGCTGTATTCCACAAAAAGACTTCCTTTGACTACAAACTTGCCTTTTAGTCTGCTCTACGCTCCATTTAAACATGATGACACAAATACAAATTGAGATGCTATGAAAATGGCATGGTTATAATATTAATGTAAAATAGAAATGAATAATTCAATGTGGTTGACTGATTCATTAACCACATTTCCTATGAAATGATTGCTTCCTTTATTTTTGTACTCAGTTGATAATCTGAACTAGTTGAAGGTCACTCTATTGTCATTCAAAACTCTATACTTATTTAATATTTATGTTCCAAACCTATTTATGCTTTTGCCCAGTTACTAATATCAGCAATATTGATCAACTGACTCTGTTTGAACTGAATGAAGGCTTGACTTATTTCCCTGAGTATTTTTTGAAAGCTTGAGGTCATGTTCACCACCCAGGTGCAGTGGACTGTGTTACATGTTTGGCTTCATAATGGTGAACACTTGTGGATCATGAGGGCACACAAAGTTTTTTCCTGGTTCCATCCTTAAGCCAAGAAAGCTAGTTATATGTTAAAGTGACAACTATAAGATCTACCTGAAACCAAGATAGGAAACAATGAAGCAGCTCAATCTCCATGTGATTGTATTTTTGTCACCTTTGATGGGGTAATATATTTCTCTTTTTTGGCCTGGAAGTTTACAGTATGCACAGCTTTAGTTAACGTGAGTGGCCTTCATCTACGTTCTCAAATTGCCTTATTTTTTACGCTATTCAATTCTGGGAACTGATAAAAATATCCTTTACATTATTTAATGAAAACAGAGATTCCAACCAAATAGCTGTGTTACTGATTGATATGAAAAAAAAAAAAGAACAGTTAACGAAAGTTGAATTCATATTTCAAGGTACCAATTGTTATTAGTGTATTCAAATTAAACAGCTGATTTGAACTTCCATTTATAATGAAAAAGTTCGCAATTACTGTCAAAACATTTGGCAACATAGTAACATTGAAGCTTGTTTGCTATTGCATAAGTGCATAATGTAGATCTTTTGGATTGATTGTTTTTCAGAAAGGTGTTTATATTTTTGTCTAAAATCATTTGCTAAATTTGTTTTAATAATGAGCCAGATATAATATTCTCAGGGATATTGGCTCCATTGTTGGCACAATACTGTGCACTTGATTGTGTATGGTTACCAATGCTATGCTGTGCTGTATGCTGAACGTACACAATTGTCATCTACAGCAGTTTTAAAGAAAGAAATAATTTTATTTTTCGTTGCCGATAAACAGTATCCCTCGTAGCAACTTCGGTTATGTGGGTTTTTTAATGCAAAATGAGTTTGTTCTTAAAGCAGTTGCCTGGATGCAGCATGTTTTGTACAGTAACCTTTCTTGAAGCCTAAGCAAATTTTGAATTATAGCTCCTTAAAAAGCCAATGAAACTGGTTGGGATTCAATTTTAAATTGGTATTTATTATCCAATCATATCCAGAGGTCAAAATTATATGCGAGACATTTGCAGTCTATTTGTAACTCAAATATAAGTAAACTATGATATAACATATAAGATATAGCATTGCATTGAGCAGGCCTCATATGCCACATGCTGTGGTCATTAAATATCACTGGATGATTCGAATATTTAACAAGATAGCAAGGATTAGATAGTTAGAGCAGCAGTATGGGTTCAATTCCCTGACATTTGTTGGTCCTTGCCTTGGTCCCATATTCTCTAAAGAACAACTTTCAAATTTCAATTTGACAGGGAGGTCATGTTGTGTTCGCATGGTTTAACAGTTTATTAGCAAGATCCTTTAGAACTTGTTAGTTATTGCTGAATATGAAGATACTATTCCACCTGTTACTAAATTGCCTGCATTACATTTTAACTTATGTTGGATCAGGCATCTGAAATTTTAGGTCCACTTTCTTGTAGCTATACCCTCATTACTCCACGTAGTATTTAGCCTTGTAAGTAGTGATTTAAACAACATACTGGAACCACTTGCTGTCAACTGCATGTGAGTGGCGAAACTGTGAACAGAATGAAAACGATGATGTATGCACGTGGATACAGAAGCTCAAACCATCGCACTGTTGCAAAATGCTCTGTTCCAATTCCCTACATTCCAGACTACAGTCAGTCAGTTTTTAACTATCTTTTCAACAATTGTCTTCTTGTATGGTGAGAATTTTGAAGCAGGACACTTTCGCCATCCATGTTACTGACAGCAAGTTAGTGTGTTTGATCACTGTTGATTATATACAGTATTTAACCAGAATTGTATTATAGGGTTCAATAGAGGCAGTGTTAGTTTAGAAAACTTGTAGTCATTGTCGACATTGTCGACATTTAGCTCATGATATTATACAATTATTGTGCTATTTTATACCACTCAGACTGTTACAACTATTGCATTGTAATCTACCCCAATATTGGGTGATTGCTGAAAACAACAGTTCCAAAGCAAATTACCAGTTTACATTATTGAAAACATACTCCATTACTGTCACCCTCTCTAATGACAGATTTAATTGGAAATTAACATTTAGTTTTGTAGGCTGCATTTGTTGCAGAAAATACTGTTCCTGTTTGAATTGTAATGAACCCCAGCAATAGCTTCCCAATAATTTGAATTTACTTTGATGCAGAATTTTAGCTGGGGTTCTTACACTTCAGATTCAAGAATATCCATTTTTTTGTGGAAAATTATTGATGTACGCTTGCATTACTTGTGAATGTGCCAAAGTTATTTAACTCCATTTGTAAAAATACCCCGAGGAAAGATTTCATATAAGTGCTATATAATATATTTTCATCATATGCATGTACCTTTGTAATTTATACTTATATATAATATATGCACATGCATTTCACACTATCCTCATTATTTGCTTACCTGTTATGTTGTTATTTTTCTATAAGCAACAAGAATCTGATGTGGTAGTATAATTATTTACCAGGGTAATTTTTATACTCAGTCCTCTGAGCAATGTTTCAGAAGATGATACACCATTGTACAAGGAATATTATATATTATATATTTTAAATAAACCCTGGAAGCCAAATATCTGATCAAAGTTGTACTGTTGTGCTCTCTTTTGATTGTTTCCAATTAATGGTAACGGGACTAAGTGGAATACGATTCAAAGAGTAATTTTGAAATTGACCAGTCAAAAAAAACATTGTGAGTATGATTATTCCCTGAATCGTATGACAAACTCTAAATACTTCAGTCATACAGCGGAACCCCGTTAATCCAGTCACCAACAGGCCAAAAGAAAGAATATGGCCGCATTAAAGGGGGTAACCCTGCGATGGACTAGCNGGGGGGGGGGAAGTAGAAATACTCCCAGTCGCTTCATGTTATCAGACTGGTTATAGAAACCGGGATAAGCTCCGGCCTGATGGGCCACTTGGCTCATATGCAGACTTTACCATCCCATGCAAACAATGTACTGTTCATGTAAGCCACTTTGCCCATGATGTTCGACCTTAGAAAGTTTTTTTACTCGTGAGATTTGTGTGTTAAACGTTTATGTTGCTTGACCAACAAACTAAGAGGTGACCAACAACCTAAGAGGAGAGTACACACCCTGAGTACAGTGGCACTACAGTGGAACGCCGTTAATCCGGTCAGTAGCGGGCCACAAAAATATGGCCGTATTAACGGAGTGGCCGTATTAAAGGGGTTCTTTGAATATGAAAATGACTGACTGAGCTTTTATTTGGGCCAGAATAAAGTGGCCGTAATGACGAGGTGGCCATATTAACGGGGTGGCCGTAAGGCGGGGTTCCACTTTGCCAATAACTTAATACTGAGCAAAAGTTTAGCCACAATTTTTCAACGTCATCATCTGTAATCCCCGCCAATCTTCTCCATCCCTAACAGTCCTTGTTCCTTTAGGGTTTATTGTTATCTCTGGTGTTTTTCCATCTTAGTAAACTACTATTTTCAGTTTTCCTTCAATTTAAAGGCAATTCTCAACGCGGATAAAATAACTCGGAATACCGTGATTGAGTTCCTTAAGCTTCGTTGTATTTTACTAAACCCACCAATTCCAAGGGAATGAGTGCTTGGAGCGCTTTCATTCAATATGGTAATAAAATGTTAGAGGTAGACTGAGTAAAAGAAAGCTGAATTACCTGGACAACGGCAGTAAAATTTTCTTTGGTAGTGGACTTCATGGGTGGCGGGAAAATCCTGTCCCTGCATCGCCGCAGCGCATGTCGCCCCGCCGAACGACAGACAAACCGCGCGGGAAAAAAGTTTAACCAAACCTGCCATCGCTCCGATAGGATTTCTTTCTTGTCTCTGCTACTGATAAAAAGCGTCATGGCAATCAAGGTCAATCACACTTTGGTTACATTGAAAAGAGAAAACCTCTGGCCGGCGCCAAGGTCTACCGGATAAATCATTGTCCAAGGCTATCCAATGGATAGCATACTTTGACTATTTTGGCTTGGTCCAATGCGCGGAACAAATCATGCTGTAGGATTCCGAAGTTCCTACTCAACCCATGATCGCAGTAGAACTGCGTGTACCGAAAAGACGGAATGTAAAATGCTTATTACCCATGTTACGACCACAGGAATCTGCCATGAGGGTCTAACATAGTTTTTTTTTTTTTTTCAATCCCGCATCCCGCTACTGTTTTTGACTACCGCCATCCAGCCCCAAGCAGAATATTATCCCGATCTCACCTGACTGAAGTTGCAGCTCTCCGTGAGACGTCCGTAACGTGTGACTTTCTGTTTTCCTGCCATCACCTTTGAAACTATCCGGCATCCCGCTTGCCAAAATGAGCACTGAAATCCCGTTCCTGCCGAAGTATTTTCATCCCGCATCGCGCCATCAAAATTTCTGTCATCCCGCATCCCGCCTCCATTTTCACTTTTATCCCGCATCCCACCAAACTTATGTTGGATCCTTTATCATCGCAGAGATCAGGGAGGGTCGGCGAAGTAAATTACAAACCTTCTTGTGAAACACCAAGTCGTCAAATGAAGCTGTCATAACACTTCGGAAGTCTTAATATCCTGGAACTGTAAAGAGAGCTTCCCTAGGGGAGGGTATTTTATGAAAATTAAGAGGCGCAGAATATCTGTGTGACAGTTGCCCCAAAAAGCTGAGGGTGTTCTGGGGGAGGGGTGTGAGAGGGGGTTGAAATTAAGCTATTGGCAAGAAAATGAGAAAGACGATTACACGCCATCTCTCGTTTTTCTTGTTTTCTCAGTGTACAATTCGCTCATGTCCTACATGTCGTTTTAAAAAGAAAACAAGCCAAAGATAGTACAACAGTTTTAATATTTATTATCTAAAGACGGCTTTACAAGAGAAAGTTATTTACGTTTAATATGATGCTACGAAAATATATCACAATAAATGCTATCAGTGTTTATTAAAAATTGAAAGCCGATTCAAATAAGTTGTGTGATCAGCGCTTTTACTAGTCAGTAAATGTTGACAGGGCCCATGGACCGGAAAATTTATAAGAACAAGCAAGTCTGTTTAGCGTTTTGTGAAAAAGAAATATTTGTTCATTTACAACTATATCTTAAACTATATTTCAAATTATTTTTCGGAAGTCATAGAACTTCTTACATTTTCCGTTCTTTTATTTACATGTCTATTTACATTGTTCACTACAGGCCGTACTATTTCAGGACGCTGAAGATTTGCGAACTAAATTTTAGCTCAATTGATTAGAATTATATTTTAGGCTACGTTATGGAGCTCTCGGAGTTTCTCAATATGGGTCTTGCCTCTGTTCACAGATGGCGCTTTTTATCTAGCATATACTGTTTTTCTCTTTTCTTTCGCAAGTGAGACGCTTACATTCTATGGCCATTACCTATGTTCAGGCGAATGCTGGAGGTAGCTTCAGATCAGACATAGACGGTACTCAATACCGCTTTATCACTGAGTCATCTTCAACTTGAGAGGTTTGCTGAGATAATATTTGCTTCAATTAGCCAAGGATAGTTTTCTCAAGAACAGGACAACTTTGTTTAATTAATTCTCCCGTTTTGCTCGGAGGTCCTCTAGTTTCCTGTCAGCCATCCAAACCACAATTCTACTCGGTGTACGGAGGGGGTGGGTCATGCCTGGAGTTTGAATTGTAATTGATGACATAGTCTCTTCGCGGTATGCTCATATCCACCACGTAATGAGAGCAAGGCACTTCTCGAGCAAAGTTCGTCGGTGATTGACTGGTTTGTGTGTCGATGGTGGAACGTTGTACTTCTGCAGCTCCGAGTTCAACGTCTTCTTCTTCGATGACGCTGAGGTCTGTTTGCGACGTTTGAGACTGGCGCGAATTCACAGTGCATTTGCCATCGCCGTCCGATCTGGAGTGGAGCGTAGCCTGTAATGAGAAAATATTGACGATCGATATTAGAGTACATTGTAGGTGGGGACTTTTAAAGTATACATGCATAATCAAGGTAACACAGCTCATTTTTTACACCACAGTTGTTGTTGCACCCTGTTCTCTGTTGTATTGTGATAATCATGATCAGCATAGAGAAGCACTTGAAATCTCTCCGAGCCTGGAACGAATTGAGCGAGAAAAGGGGAACTATGTTAATTCTGGTAAAATTGTTTTCGTGTTCTAAAGTAGGCCTACCTTAGACTTTCTTTTTCGACACAACAGCAGTGTCTCCATGACAGCAGCCACAATGCAGGCGACCAGTCCTCCACTGTACACACCGCTCATGCCGTACACAAGGTCTCGGAGCTTCTTCTGGATTCCGTTGCAATTGGCGGTGTCTCTGAAGATGATTGACACTTGTCGCAGCTCAGTCTGATGAAAGCACTTGCATGAGTTCTCAACAGGAAAATATTGACAGCTGTCCATCTTGGCAAGGAGCGGCGCTATTTCAGTTCCAGTATACAGCGCTCCAGCGAAACAAAGCAACCCCGCGGCAACAGTGAAAATGATCGCAGAAACGATCTGTTGATTTAAATGAAAAGGGTTAGGAGATGCTAAGCAGGTCCAAATTCAATATACAAATCCTTTACTCAACGGAATTTTCCCCTGGTTATGAGTGACTCGCAATTCAATTGTGAGTCACTCATAACGGAATCCTTCTCTTAACGGCTTATTTTCATGGTTGTGGCGGCTCAGGATCCCGGGCTCGGGATCTGATTTTAGACCAAGATATCTAGCGAGTAATAGAACCAGTCCGGACATGCGACAGAAAGCTCTTAAATTATTTTGTATGGAGCGTTTTCACTCACGTGGTCAGTACCCATACAAGTTTATTGAAACAAAAGGAAGTGTTTACTTAAGAAAAGAGTTCAACTCCCACAGGCCGGGATTGGTTTGGTACACCAACATGGCCACCGTTTCCTTGTTTTGGAATACCAATATAGCTGCCGTATTTGATTGAGTGACGTCATGTGAAAACGCTCTATTCACCGTAAACGACAACGATTCTATTCATAGGAAATAGAGTAACCTTGCAAATTTTGCCTCTATCGCCCACGCTAGACACAACACTTGATAGTGATAGAGCCTCTTCACGCTTTCTATAGAGACTATAAAACTCGCACAATGTTTTCATTTCAGGGTATGACTGTAAGATCCCAACCAAATAAGGTGAACAGACTTACCAGTACTTTTGACCGTGGCTTGCACAGGAGCATCAGTTGTAAGCCAACTACACCCAGCTGTTAAAAGAAAAAAAATTTTTTAACACTTAAGTCGATTGTTTGGTTGGATTTTCGTTCCAAACTGATACTGTGGCCAAAGGTATACGTTGTAAATGGGTGAACTAAAAAGGTGTAATTATCTGCCATTTATCTATTTTAGAGTCCCTGGAGGGATCGCGCGCGCGCGAGCAATTTATTTTCCCTCACGGCCTCCCCTGAGCAAAGCACTCGCGCGGACTTGCGTGCGAAATCCCGCCAGCTTCGGTTAATCTCTTTTTATTCATCGTATCTTCGCCGATCAACTCAGACAAAAGAGCATTTTCTTCTTTGTCATCCAGGAAACAGTTGAACAATACTAATACAGACACTGCTGAAAGAAGAGTCTATTGAAACCCTAAGAGCTACAGCCTGAGTGAGATTTAGGTCTCTCAGTTGCGACTGCCAACTGTTCGTAACAACAAGGTGTTTGTATGATTTTTACCCTTTTTCTTTTCCTTTTTGGGGAAATTACAAAATGGACCGCATTATATTGAATCTCCTGATATTTTACGCATATTACCAGACACAGCTGATATTTTCACGGAAAGGCCCTCGCTTTCATTTGAGTTCAGCGTATGTTGTTTGAATGTTTTATTTCTCCGCTATCGCGTTTGCGAAATAAGTTCCTTCGTTTACCTATACTGACCTAACGAAAGAAAGTAGAATCTTGAAAGTAAGCGAAAAAAAAAAAACAACAACAAATCTGGTGCCGTCTCGATTTCAGTGTTTCAGCCAGATTTAACTCGTCGATACAGAGAATTAATACCAAACAAAATCGAAAAACCACGCGAAGTTCTGTTTTTAAAGGAGTTTGCCCGAAAAATGACTTCAGCTAGCAGTTACCTAGTTTTTCGACGCGATCGAAAATTGCGTAGTGAACAAACACAGCAATTTGGCACTAATTTCTTGTTTCCGTATTTTAATTCCCTTTCAATGAAATGGAAGCGCATACGAGCAAAGTTAAGCTACTTTTATCTTGTTTTTGCGGTCAAGCATCTTTTTTAAATTTACCTTTGCCGAGGACGAATGGTCTTTTTAACTAAGAGCCACAACATTCATTGCTAAGTGAATTTGACAGTAAACTGCTTAGTGATTTGAAAACCTCTATCAGGTTTCAACAGTTTTTTGTTATGTTCGCCGTGAACGCCGCTTGTTGAAACATGTGTTTTTCCTAGTTTCGCCTTGAAACACATGTTTTTTAATAGCAGGTGTCTTTATCACCCTAGGCCGCAAGTGTTGATTTAACTTTCAAAGTTACAAAAAGAAGCGAAACAATGAAAATGTGCCTTCCTCCCTGGCTGAGTTTGTAAGCGATCATTTAATATAAAACGACAGGTTGTATCTTAGTGTCAATATAATCTAGGCTATTGTTACATGATGTTGTAGCTCTTTCCATAAATCTTGGCCGGTGGATTAATCTCCGACGTAGGAAGTCGGACGAAATGTAATCGCCACAGGCGTAGATCTAGGATAAATGGAGACCGATTTTCGAAACAATAAGCGCCGAAGGTAGAAGTTTCTAGGGGAGCCCGAGGCCATGCTCCCCCAGGAAATTGTTTTGGATTTTAACTCCGTTAAGTCCCCTTTCCGGGGTATCTGAGTTATTCTGAAAATCTCACCAAGTTCGGTGTGGATCGGCCGTTTTTGAAAATTTCAAGTAAATTGTCTTATTTTTGATACCAACAAAGATTTAAGCCAACTGTTAATTTAATAAATCGTGAACAAAAAGTCAAAGTCGTGTGATTCTTTTCCTCTATTATAGCGGAAATGAAAAATTCAGTAATAATACCGTACGAAAGGGTCGAATAAACGCTTAGCTAAAGCAAACTTTTCTAGTTGAACAATTTTTTTTTAGAGTTAGTCTGAAATTTTTTGTTTTGTAGCTTGCCATGTGTGGCCTTTAAATCGCTCACTTCTAATCTTGCGCAGGGAAAAGCCGTCCATCTCTGTTAGAATTTTGCTCCTCAGAAGTCGCCAAGAATGATGTAGCTGGCCAATTTATTGCAGGGTGGTTGTAACTGGGGAAGAATTATAGCTGAAGTCATACGCGCGAAAACGGAACTTAAAATAACCGCTATAACTAGATTAACCCACCGGAAAAATCGCCAATGGCTCCTAAAGGATTAAAAAGATAAAAACTTCTTTTTAGAACCTATTAATAAGACTCTTTCACATGCAAATATAACTTGCTGAGGCACGAGGCTTTAATTAGTTGCTATGCAAATGAACACGTGCGGATCTTAACTTCGTAAACAATAACATGATTTGATCCCTCGATCTTCAATATTGCTTTTTGCAGGACTATATTTCCGGGAATCGAGCCAAATTTCATAATCAGTTGTGACATTTCTTATCCTTCATTGCTCATAGGACAATAACTTTGCAATGACTATTTTCTTTTTGCCCCCAAGCGCAAAAAATTAGTCTCTTAATCAGCCTTGGCGATAACTGATATTGTAAAAAAGGACGAATCAGCTTCTAGCGGGTTCGGTTTTGATCCCGCAAGCCGAAACTGTTCGGCATTTTGAAGAGTTGAAATTAAATTTATGCTAATGGTGCTTTTAGCGCGAGATATTGTACAAGGAAAAAACAAAGCATTTAAGTGTATCATTCAAAAACACGCGTTTTTGGCATCAGAACAATTGCACTATAGTCTCGGCACGTGTCCATGAATAAATCCCAAAACGCTCTTTCACCTTAACAGACCAATAACCAATGAATTTCAAAAGGAGCCTTTGGCCGAAGAGCTAAACAGATAAACACGGCAGTACCTTGCCTAAGTTTTTTTCTTGCTCCCGGCATGAAACCCATTCTACAAGATTTCACCGTTCAAATAACACAAGAACACGCACGCGCCAAAATCACTCAAATTCTTTTGTTTGTTTCGAAACTTTTAAATTGATTTAAACCAAAATAGAAAATCCCTTCTCCCGCCATTTACGGCGCAGTGATTTTGCCGTCGCAAAGTGAACTAATCCAAAAAAACTAAACTTCGAGATCTCCCGGAATGTGAGACCCCTAGTAATCTGGTGTGTGGAACTTGTCAAAATTTAAGTCCGTTGAATATGTATAAGCGTCGGGCACTTGTCCCTGTTGACACAAGTAACTAATATACTTTAGTTAAACTTCTGAGTAATCCTTTCAAAAAACGCATTTTGTGAATAAAAGTTTTATGCTGCCGGAAGCCGCTTTGACAAGGAAAAAAGATAAACTCTTTAACTGTTGTGTGAAAGAACTCCTGGTTTCAATACAATTAAGTTTCGATTGAAAGGCGGGGAAGGAAAACACGCTCTGCTAATTTGAATTCTCGCTGCGTAATGCAAGCTCGGCTAATAACTGTCAAAATAAATCCTGTTATGCTTTTGCGGCGTGTTTTCCATTCCGGGTATAATTTATTGCTGTAGTTTATATAATTTCACTAAATGAATATTCAGGTAACATAAGGTGTTAATTCGTGACTTGGGAACCTAATCAGCGCACGCTTACAACAAAGGTTGTAACGAACCTGGAGGCAGTTAATTTTCAAATTACCTTGAATCATTGCCTGCTGAATGTAATTCTAAATAAAGCTGTATTCATGGTTATGCTATCAGTTGTTGATGTAAAATATTTGCCGACGCCCGATGTATTTTTCCGACTCGCGTTAACTAAGTGTAAATTTGATGTTTAGAAGAGAGACACAAAAGAACTTACCACAGCTCCTGTTATGTAGGACGGTATGAGCCCTTCTGTGTGGTAGGCGGACGACGTTACTCGATGGATGCTAAAGTAGCCAATTCCGAGGAGGCAACCTATGGAAAATATCGTGAACCCAAGTAGCGGCAGAGCTACAAGCCGCTTTCCGCAACATTGACAACTGTTGTTCTTCTTAGAACTTCGGTGAATCACAACCTCTTTGGTACGGAGCAGTTTCTGATCGACCGAGTGGGACGGCGTAGATCGTGGACTCTTCGCTGAAGGCATGTTCTTGTTGTTCACGACTCACTGGCCACGCGTCTATCAATGCGAACAGATCTACTTTCCCCTACTTCCTTCGTAGTAAAATCTTGCTGAGTAATTGAAAAAAGGCGGGAAAACGGATTTTCAAGCTTTTGCTCTCCAAATACTGCCTCTCTTGCCTTGAAACGTTCCTCCGAGGTGATTTGAACGGTTTCTAAGCGGCCTAGCTCAATTAGTTGCGAAAAAGTGGCTTTCTGGCGGTTCTCAGCGCACGAACTTGCGTTTCACTGCTAAAGAGCTTGGGGCTGTTTTGACAATCCAACAGAGTACAGCCAGTGTTGTTTCCAACGTCTTCTTTGTGACGTTTACTATTGTGTGTACGCTTCAATGGACCTTGACACAGTTGAATGGGCCGCACGAGGCGCCAATCTTGTTCATTAGCATAACACTGGCTTGCCAACTTAATTACGATCACCGAATGCCCATTCAGCTCGAGTTTAAACAGTTTTAGGGACGCAGGTGGCGCTGATCAGGGGACGAATTTGGACAAAGAATCAGGTGTTTCTCTTAAGCTAAGATCACGAGTCATACAGGTACATTTATAAAAGACAGCCCCTCGCAAAATAGCGGCTCAGATAAGCTAACGAATATTGTTTTAAAGCGTACAGTATTGTTGAAAACAGGGCAAACTACACATTCGAAAACGCCGATCAATATACGTAACACTACTTTGAAATTTCGATATGAAGAGAAAGTACTTCGTTGTGTGTAAAGCATTTCATAAGTGATACTACGAACTTTTTAAAATTAATTTTACTTGTTTTTTTGAGGGGATCTTTTAAACGAATTATAGGTTTTGTTTTAGCACTTTTACAAAGGCAATTTACGCTCCGTGCCATGCTCATTTCAAGTAATTTAGTAAAGGAGGCTCCGTTAATACTGATGGGACATTTAATTAAGCCAGATAAGCTGATATTGCTTTAAAAACTTGAAATGTCTAGGTAAATAAGTTTGTTGGACGCTAATAAAACAACACGGACAGCTATCCTAATTAACCGCGCCATTTTCAAGAGAAATAGTTTATTTTTCGTGCCTGAATTTGTTTGTTTTAGTACTATTGTTCGTTCAAACCGACGCTGTGAAACAAGAATGGCTCTCGATAGAAATTAAGCAAGTTCTACAGTTTACGGATATCTCAACTCTAAAATTACTGAAGTTGCATACAGTTTCATCAGACGGATCGACAACCAAAATTTAAGGTCACAATGCAATTCGCCTCTGCAAATCATTTGAAATTCAATTCTAAGAGATGCAGTTTTGCTTCGTTTAATTTAGTATATTTCTTCAGAATAGTCAGCCTTTTTTACGAGGTGTTAATGCAATGAAAGTCCACGCGCACTTATTTTTTCCCTAATAGAAGCTTTAATTGCGTAATTTCCATATTTTCGCGGGCGTTAAGAAAACACTGTTCACCCGCGCCGGTCAAAAGGGCAAGAACTTAAACAAACTGTGAGTTATCTTGGTCATGTTAATAAACCGACGTTAAAACTCATTAAGTCTCTTGTGAAGTGATTTGTAAGTAATGCACTTAGTACTAGTTCTATACTCTATACGCATTTTTGGTTTCATTAAGGTTAGAGAATACCGGTTTCTTTGGTGTTGTCTTCCAATAAAACTGGCTCTTCCACAGGCCATTTTATTGTACTTCTTACATTGTAAAACGAAATACTGCAATACTTGTAGTTTGTAAAAATGCGTGTATTCGCAACATCAACCTTTGTTTGAGCAATGCGTTACTCATTTTATGCCATTATTTTGTTGCCAGGTTAATAAGTTTGTAGTATTTAACACGGCGACCAAGCGTCGCTTCTTTTCCTATTGTTAACAAATTCCTCGTCTTACAGCCGGAACGACGACGCCGAAAATGTGTGCCGGGTCGTTTAAAAATAGCTAATTACCTTTCTTCGTTCTGTTTTGCGAAATTTTGCCAACAAGATTGAAGTCGCGGGTTATTGTGCTCAAACAAAATGAACAAAAATTGATACGCACAATTGGAACAGACACGAGAACAGGCTGTCACAGGCGAAAAATTGAGCAAAAGTTTCACAAGTAACAACATGCATGTTCAAACTTAAAGTTGGACACGATAAAAAAACAAACCTAAAAGAGGTTTTCTAACTTCAATTGTGAATGAAACACACTTTGCGTTTGGGGTATTAACACCTTTTGTACATTATTGAGGAATTAAGCAAAACATTCAGAAGCGAAAAGCTTTTTTGTTTATAAAGATCTATTATTATTGATATTGGGGTTGGTGTAACACTGGTCATAACGGTCATTTGGGATTATTCTAGTTAAAAGCGCGGAATTTTAAACCAGCCAATTAACATCGAGTAAAGGAAACTCGATTCCTTGGCTTTCTAACTGGAATTGGTCTTCGTACTTCCTTTCAAGGAGCCTGGAAGAAAGGAGATCCTTTAATCTGCCCCGCTAATGATCGAGTCAAGGCTGAAGTGTCTACAAAATAACCACAAGAAGCGCATTTTTAAGGCATTCAAATTAATAGGTTTAATTAAGCACTTCGTTTGGAAATTTTAATATGAAAGGTTAAAAGCATAAACTTCTACCAGTTTTTAATTTTATGCAATGAACTCCACACGAAGGTGGACGCCTTTGGGACAAGCTCTAGTTGTTCGTGTTTGAAACTAGCTCCCTAGTAAGGTCTCAGCCCCAGAGAGGTGTCTGTCTTAGAGAGTTATCCAACAGGAGAGGTATCAACCCATGAGAGGCCATGCACTCGGTCAACCTTAGAGAGTTTTTGTCTTACAGAGGTGTCCAGAGGCATCAACCCTTGAGAGGCCATGCAGTGTCCGCCTATGAGAGTGTCTGTCTTAGAGAGGTGTTTGTCTTCGAGCGGTGTCCGCCCGAGAGAGGTGTCACCCCTAGAATGACCATAAGTGTGTGTCATAAGTTTTCGAAGGCTTAGAAAATAAGTGCTTTACCGATCAGTATTCCTTTTTTTGAGTGACTGAAGCAGGAGCGGAAATCCGCTTGAGTATTTGAGTAAACACAAGCTGGTGGCAATTTTCTATTCAATCTTTCAAAAACAAAAACAAAAACAAAAAACAAATGGATAGTTGGACTGGTTGTAACGTCAAACAATCAAGCGGAGATACATTCAGTCTTAATATTATGATACTAAAAGTGATTTTTATTAAATAATATAACCTAATCCGCAGTCACAATAATTATGATTAATGATACAGTGTGAAGAACCAGAAGAAAAATCTTAAAAGTCATCAAGTTCTTGTGTACAACGTGCGTCCTTTCAAACATAATAAAGAACAGCCGCTCCATATATAAATTTTTTGGCGGGTACCAGCTTCTTCAGTGTACCGCGCAAATAAAATACAGTTAAGCTAGAACATCTGATCAATGAGCGTGATCAACAGGTATTCTAGAGCGCCATCCATTTCAAACTGCACGTGTTTAACTCTATGTTGACCAGCAGGTACCACTGGTGGCTTGAAATGAGCAATGCAGTTCAAAGGCACTGGGGGTTACGACCGCGCCAAACATCTTGCCAAGCATATAGAAGCGTGTGAGAAAGTTTTCGCGATAGATGTGTATGATTGTAAACAGCGACCGCTAAAATACGATCCATTCACTTATCCCTGCTTCTTGTCGCATATTCCATTATGCTCAAGCCGTGGTTAAACCTGCAGATAGCTAGTTGAACAAGGGAAAAAGACTATGATCTTGGGCCCGATTCTCGAAGGTCCCGAAAAGCCATAGCAAAATCTCAAACCTTTTGACTACAGAGCCGTTTTATTCACATATTCTTAATACGAACAGAGGTTCTCTTCATACAAGAAGTTTCAGACGTATACACCTCTCTGTCTTTAAATGCCGATTAACTAAAACTGGCTTTTCGGGCCCGAAAAAGCGAAAAGATTCCGAGGCTTTCAAGAAACGAATCCCCGATCTCTTGCTGAGGGGACACACGTGAATTTTTTTGTGCTTATGATCATTCTAGTAATTGTAATGTTATATGTAGATATACATACAATAAAACCGGAGTTAAATTCTATTGGACTAGAGAAATAATAAAAGGACCACACTTATTCGTTCAGCCAAGATATTGCCGTGTCACGTGAAAAATTGTAGCTGGGGTCCGATTGAGAGCATTTCTGCTCATAGCTAGTTCACTTTTTGAATTTTTTTTTTTTACAGTTATGAATTCCTTCTGAGACTGCTTATGATAGCTGAAATGCTGAAATGTAGAATTTAGTTAAAGTTACATCTAAGTGTTTCTATAACCATTGTTCTATTTGCTCGGAAAACGAGACTGCGATCAGCTGGACTTACTTGACACAGTGTAGAGTCATCTTTGCAACCTCAACCTTTGCAAACTCTACTGTAGTAAGGGTATTTCAAAGACACACGAAGGCTTTTTTTATTACAAGTTCATTCAACTGTGGCTTGCGAATTGGTGCAAATACAGCGAGCGGAAAACAGGACGTAAACAATTCGTAACATCAATAAACAACAGATGGCTTAGAAGTAGTTGTAATCGTTCATCAGTTAACCTTTCAGCGCGCAAACAAGCACATGTTCTTGATAAATAAAACCACCAGTTGACCTTTCTTGTACGTTTAAGGATTCTTTTGATGTTTTCACCCGTTTTTGTGCATTCCCGGAGAACGTTACAGATCGCCTCCCGAGAGGTTGATTTGCTACCCGTGTGTTGGACTGCTGGCTGTGCGCTTGAAAATAGTGTTACCTGTCGCACTTGCAAGATTTCTCGCTTTCCCACGCTTTCTTACAGTGGAATATACAGGAAAACAGTTAATTTGATCAATGACTGTTATGCCAAAGTCTTAGAAAAGTAATGTTACCTGTGGAATAAGTTGTTTATTACTTTTCAGTTGAACTGGCCGCTTGTTTTTAGCTAAACTTATGAGAAAAGGGCGCTACAAAATTTTATGCTTTAATCTTGCCTTGCCAGGCTCTAGTCAAAAGTAAAGTTAAAGCGTACATATATATCTCCTGCGCGAGAATTAATGACTCCAGAAATTCAGAAAGTATTAAGAAATTTGAAAACGCAACGCTCACCGGTCGTTTTGGATTTGTGTTTGAGGAAAACTTGGTCAGGGAAATCACATAATTATCGTCGCGCCATCGTTCTCGAAAAGCACCGTTTTCAAAATGTTCTCCGTCCAAACGAATTCGAAAACCCAGCGTTTTCAAATTCTTCTGGTTTGAAGAGCGTTTTCGCAAAAGTGTGGACAGTAGACCTCAGAAACCGTAGAAATAAAGCTGCGTTTTCAAATTTCTCCGGCGTAGTGTGGAGGCTGCCTCAGAAAGTATTACAGTATGTGAAACTAATCGTGACAGTATTAATTTTCAAGCACTTAAGGAGCGTTTTCCCTCCCAGAAGTTCAGTTTTAGAGAAATCAAGTGTTTGGCACAGCCGGAACAAACCTAAAACAGTAGATTTGTCAAGGTTGAAGACCCAACGAAGCGATCAATCATTGTCTTGCAGCAGACTGTTTCATGGGGTGAAGTTTGAGAAATTTGCAAACACGATCGTAAATGTTTGGAACCATGTCTAGTTTTGACTGGTGCACATTATCTAACTGACTTCTATGAGTTTTAAAACAGACGCGCCGAAGCTTTTGTTAAATGATTAGTTTTTATGGAACATTATTGGAACTGTTGATGCTATAGGTGAAGGTGATCTTTTTACTTATCAGCAAACTGAGAAACTTCCTGTAAAGGTCTGAAAAGCGTGGGAACCCTTCTGAATTTTTTTCAGTCTTTCGGGTATCACTATTTAACCAAAAGATGCAGGCTCGGGTCCCCAAGTTTCCTCTCCTGGGTCCCTCCCTTACTTTCTAACCGTGTTTACTGCTTTCACCTGCCCGCGTGGAACCGTGCGTTGACCGCGTGTGGAACAATGGGAGGTACCGACAGGACCCTATGGCGGGAACTCACCGGGTTATACAACTCGTGAGATTCCAAGATATGTGAACAACTTTTTGGCCATATAAAAAAAATTCTTAGTTTTACCAAATGGTGAGACTGCTGCGTTGCCGAGGAATACTATACAATTCCTTCGACAGCCCTTTCTCCACTGACTGACCAGCTAGCAGCGGAAGTGATCGCCATTTTCTTAGAAGCTGGCTTTGCCAATGTTATTATATTCATCAACGTGGAGCATGCGCGTGCAGGCGCTCCTGGACCCCCCTCTTTCTCGTCCCCAAAGGCCGCGCTCCTTTTAGTCAGCACCAAGAAACGTCCAACACAGGAAGTCCGCGATTCACGGACTTACCGCATTACTCTGAGCATGCTCAGAGTCAAGTCTGACAATCTGATTGGCTGAGAATACGAAACGACTACTTCACGCATGCTCAGAAAATTTGACATTCCCAAAGGTCGCGATTCTTGGTGCTGACCAAAAGGAGTGCGGCCTCTGGGGACGAGAATGGACCCTCTTTCATTGGCGTGCACTTGTAGAGGGCAAGCCGAGTCACTGGCCTGAATTGATCTGTATTTCGTTTTGGTCAAAATGCGCAGGACTCACTTATATCTGCATTACAGTGACCAACTCAAAAGCTCATTGGCAACTTTGGTCACTGTACACAAAATTAACCAAATATTGTTTCTTCTAGTTAATTTCTATTTGTATTTCTTTCTGTTTCATTGTACACCATCTTATGCTAAGTTGTTTTCTGTAAAGAGTGTGCAATAATAAAAACTGAAAACTGAAACTGATGAAAATTTCTGATCGCGCACCAAACAGTAAAATGGTTAATCGGGCAGTTTTCAAAGTTGTTCGTCGCTTCTGGTCTCTCTGGAACTGCCTGCGTTTTCGAGGTTGCAGACATCGTTCTACTGAGTCATCCTTCCATCCTTCTCCATACCTGAGAAACATCCCTGTTACAGTCAGACCCGGTACAGTGTAAAGCAAGGTGAGTGATATGTGTCCCAGTAATCTCTTCAAAGCGTTCAGTTAGTTGGGGCGCAGCTCGAGAAACGGGGAGCGAAAAAATAGGGGAGAAGCACCAAGTTTGCCCACAGGCGTTTTTTCACCGTTCTGTTGCCGCGCTTCTCCCCTATTTTTTAGTTGGCCGTTTTTCGCATTGGTCCTCAACTAACTGAACGCCTGGAAGAGGCTAGTGCCCCATCACCACATACACACCTCACAGTAATATGGTAAGTTTTAGGTGAGAATAATTTGTTTTGAATTCTAAAAAGGAACTACCCGTTTTAGTCTGTCTAAAGGCGTTTATTTTTTGCTACGAGTTATTTTTCTTAGAGAGCACGAGCGAGGGTGTGAGAACGATTGCGGAGAACGGGAGGCCACTGAGCGGACGCCAAAACATATGTCTGTTTTTCGTTTTTTTTTTCCCAGGGCCACCCGGCTGAGCCGGCTGAGCACCCGCCTGAGCACCCCGCTGAGCACTCGGCCCTCCTTTGAGTTAATCAATTCAACTTTTTTCCCGCAATTTTGTGTTAAACATTTTCTCTTTAATTGTAGGTGAATCGAGGCCATGTACATATTAACCGCTGGAACTAAATTTTTTGGCTAAAATATTTTTTTGGTAGTTTTCATTGGTTCTGAGCACGTGAACGGTAAATGCAACGCATGCGATGTGATTCACCACGTGACTTATTTTGACCAATTATTCGAGGGAAGAAAATTCTACAGGATATCGAATTTTTCTGAAGTTCTGTACTTTCCCAGCCATTACAATCCAATCCTTCATGCTACCGTGGTTCCGTAGGACAGTATTGCGAAGCATCAGTGCTAAGAAAAGTGAGAAGACTACATTGCAACAGATAAATGTCCTAAATTCTGCAACTGCGAATGCAGAAGAGTTTTGAGGCCGCCATAGCTAAAATTCAGCTATCGTATTGGCCAATCAGCAAGCTCATGTAGAAAAGACAGAGGGAAACTTGAACTAGTCTAGTTGCTGCGCGAGGCCTGTCGCAAAATTGTACTTTATGGCGGAGCAATCGCTATGGTGTTGCGAAATCTTCCACAATTTGAACATCACCAAGGTTAGTTTTTCTCTGAATTGCATCTGATAGCCTTAACGGCTTTCACTATTTTATACTGGAACGACTAAATGCTATTACACGCTGGGAATTGTGCAAGAATAAGAGAGTTTTGCTGTACGTAAATAGGGTAATCGTGCCACTTAGACGATGTTTCGACGATGCTTTTTCGGTTTTTTTTTGTTACTCAAACTAATAATAAGCTTCATCGCTCGATTGATCAATTGATCTATAGAGCTTGAGGTGGTTTTCTGTTAAAATGAAAAACACGAAAAATAGTTGATACAAAATATTTGTGTGACATAGTCAAAGTGGTTCATTCACAGGATCGAAGATCAGAGAAACTTAATGATAAGAATTCAAGGGCTGAAAATAAACAATTCGAAAACAATGGTGACATACATGGAAATAAACAGTCACCTGTGCCCACAAACATGAGTCTGGTGGTCAGAATTTTCGAGTTCCCTTCCTTACAGCAAGCAACACTTGGTGAGAAGCCCGGGTGTTTAAGGCAAGCAATTTTTTTTTCAAAGGTTGTCAAGGAACCAACAAGGTACAAAATTAGGAATAATTTACTTTTATATTTAAAAGAGCCCTTGAGCTCAATTTTGTGATATGTGCCTAAATAAAGCTGCTTGCTTACTTACTTACTTAGTTAATAAGATTTATGAGTTCTGTTAAACAATTATAGTTCACCAGTAAATTTTCTCCAATTCTTATTGGTTTAAATTGATCACGTGACACGACAGTGTTCATCTGCGGAGAGACACTATCAACCCATAGTGCCCGTCCGAGGAAAATACCCTGATGAATAGTACTCGTCCTTGAAAATGTTTCTGTAAACAAGCGGGCTTATAGAGAATAAACAGTTAAATTTGTATTAAGAGGGTTTTTGTTTGTTTTCTTTTTCAAATTTTACATTTGGCTTTCATGGCTTTCATCTAAAAAAGTTGAAAATAATTCAATATGATTTTTGAACTGGCGTGCAGAAGAAAATTTAGTGATGAACAATAAAGACAATAGAGCGTTTATGTCTCGGAACTATCAGTCTGATAGTTTCCCCTTGGAAATTTGATGCTCTTTAAACTAGCATATTTGGCCTCAAAGCTTCGCTTCTTGGGCAGATATTTGTTTTAAGAACATCAAACTTCCGCGGGGCAACTATCACCCGATATTTCCTCAACAGAAACACTCTATTGTTTAATTAGATTATGAGCTCAAGATTTCTATTGCGTGATAGTTGACTCGGGCTGCGTCCTTGTCAACCATCAGGCATAGAAATTGAGAGCAAATAATCTAATTGTTTTAGTATAAATCTATTAGTCGTTCAAAACTTTATCTAAATCCTCTTCACAGAGACTTCGAAAATGCAAAGAAGCAGCTGTCATTTTGGTAAAAAGCGCACACTGCTATGCTACACGCTATCTATCGCAGAATAGAAAGTTAGTAGCGTAGCCAATCAGAGAATGCCATTTGAGATAGAACGCTTGTAGATTTATACTTCAAGGTGATAGTTGCTTTGGCCCAAGGCCAAATCAACCTAAACCTCATGGAATCATGAGCATATAATCATATTAGGTTAGTTCAATTCTGCTTTACAAAACTCATATGATTCTCTCATGTTCTCCAAACCGGTCAGTGTAAGACGCAGACTGTGGACTGCAAACTGCAGACTGCAGACCTTGGGTGAAATGCAGACCAAGGGTAAAATGTAGACTGCAGACTAGAGACTTTTTAAGTATATGTTGTGTTATTTCCATTACTGAGTACTGACTGTAAACAGGATTATTCTGGCTAATGTTACTAATCCCAGTGAAATTCTGCACTCTGGTTAGCCTGAATGTTACTCAAGTTAGTCTAAATAATCTCTGGTTAGCCTGTTTATGGTTAGCTCTCAATGATGGAAATGGTAACATGATTCAGTCTGCAGTCTGCTGTCTGTATTTTTCCACTGTTCTGCGGTCTGCATTTTACCCTCAATTTGCATTTTACCCTCAATTTCCATTTTACCCCAGTTTCTTATCCTAGCTAGTTAAAGTGCTCATAAGGTCAAAATTTTTATTTTCTCATCTGATTCTATGTATCACCCAATGAACTTCTGCGAAAAAATTTTTTGATTTGGATAAAATGCATTTTTTACAGCTTTTTGAAAAGGTTCAAATTTGCCGCCATTTTGGTCCACCATTTGCATCAGTCTTCCCTCGGATTGGAATGAGTTGTGATGTCGATTCAGGAACATGTGACTACAGGCTAGACTCATTTCGCTGTTTTCTAGGCGTCTCTTTAACTCTTCGTCTAAGTGTTTTTCTTCTTCTTGTCCCTTGCAGTAATTTTCTAGCCATTCTTCTCTTCCGGCGGTTCGTCTGCATATGGCTTGAGCGAATTGTCTTCGTGTTTAGCTTTGTCCGCTCGTTTCGCTTTTTGCAGCTTCCACTTCTACATTTTCAAATTCATCTTGACTATATTCCGTGGTATTATTGCTATTTCTATGGGATAACTCTTCATCCATGACAAACAATTTTGTGTTGTTGCTCCTATGTTGTATTTTTGTTGACTTAGGGTTCCTGAACCTACATCACAAGCTTCAGTCACGTGGCCGATTATGAGCATGTAGATCTTGTGATCAGTGGCACGGGTTGACCGCAAGAAAATAGGATTTTCAGGTTTTTAAAAATTCATAAAAAAATCGAAAAATTTTTTTGCAGAAGTTCATTGCATGAAATATAGGATCAGATGGGAAAATAAAAAATTTTCACGTTATGGGCACTTTAATTTGGCCTTCTCCTTCAGTAATAATAATTGTAATAATAATGCTAATAATAATAATAATAATAATAATAATAATAATAATAATAATAATAATAATAATAAAGGTTTATTAGCATTCCACTGAGCGTGGCCCTTCTATGCTAAGACCTATATACAGTAGTAATACAGTTGCTTGCCAAAACAATTCAGAAAAGTTTAACCCATTGGCTCCTGAATGAAATTGCATGCAACCCACCCCTAAATTCCCAGCGATTTTTTAACATTTCAGAACGAGCACGAGCGTTAAAAATAAACCATATGCGCGGTTAACACACACACACAAGATCAGGTTCGAAGACATCGTTTATGTTAAGTTGAATAAATGAAGGGCCAAAATATTAAAAAATATCAACAAAAAGAACTCAACTTGATGTTTAAAACTGATGAGAAAACTAGAAATTATATGATTGCTTTGCCGTGCAACCAATTGCCCAACAGAAGAAAATCCAACAGGAATCCAGTGTGCAAAAATACTGTTCACTTTTAAAACCTAACATTCCCCAAAACAGGGCACCAAATGAAAGAAATATGAAAGGAAGTTCAATAACAATAAATTTTCACTCAAGCTGTAGTGGACAACCCTATTTAAAAGCAAAAAAATGTTCAAAATTTCACAGATGTGTTTTGCTGCATGATCGCATGTTCAAATTAATTCTTCACGCTAAAGCGAAAGCTCTGAGTTTCTCCCGCCCACTTTTGCAGTCATTTTATTGGCCGTGGCATTACCAATTGTTCCAAAAGTTGAATTCACTTTGAAGCAGCAATGTACATTACCATTTTTGTTTTTTAAAGTCCAGGAAGTCTGTGATCTGTCTTCAAAACTCATTTGAAAGTGCACCGATCTTCATGTTTTCACAGCGGTTGAAGGAAGGAAAAATTCTTCACCAGAAGGGTTTGACGACTCTGTACTCCTTGATCTTCCATTCTGAGGCCACCTAAACATTAATTTGTATTTTTCTTTTCTATTTTAAATTCCAAAGCAGCAATTTCTCCGTGTTAGGAATGAAAACAAGGCCTTTGAAGTTTGTAGATTTGGCCCGCAGCGTGTCATGATAACCTGCACTTTATGAGTGCATGATTTTAAGAAGACAAACTGTCTTTCTAGGACCCCTAAAGTCCTCTAAAAATATGCTCAGTAAGTCAATTCTGATTGGTTTGTTTGTCCTCAAGAACAACAGAACAATAAGAGAACCAAAAAGTCTTCAGGGAGGGTGGGNTAGCAGATAGCGAAGAAATTTGTTAAGTGTATTCCACAGAATTTCTCTCAATTACAGCAATGATCAGAGAGGTAGACTCAATTGAAATTGCTTCATTTTTTACTTAAAATTGTTCACAGAGCGACATACAAGATCACACACCATTACAGTGCCGAGTTACAAACAGCCAAACAAACTCTCACAACTTCAAAAAACTCAATTGAATTTACTTACAGTGACTTTCCTTGCTATTTAAAGCTAAACAAAGATAAACTTGTGTTGATTAATTGTCTACGGAAGTGTAAAAAGGGTGAAAGATTGAAGATTACTGATAATTCGTTCACGAAAATAGATCAACTCGACGGATTCTGCCCGCTGTGGCGGTCTGGATGAGAAAATTCCGCCTGCTCCAGGAACCAATCAGATTGCAGGATTTGTTGAATTCCGCCCGCTCATGAGCTGAAAAAAAGATAAATTGACCTTATTTTGTAATAAGAAAAAATGGAATAATTCCAAATGTGTTTGATTGAGTTGCTCTTCTTATACCAAAATACAAGGCATGTATTCCAATAACTGTAGGTAGTAGAATACTCGGAATAGGTCTGATGCCATGGAATGATGCACTTCCTTGTAGTTTCAGTGAGTCATTTTCTGTTCTTCTTTACAAAAAAGGTTGCACATTGGGAATTCAGGACACATGCTCTGACCCATTGGTTTGGCTCAGCAGAGAGAGGATGTTATGCATTGGCTGTTGTCATATGTCTTCTAGGATTATTTAGAGACTACTGGTAAATATATTTTTATCATACACCGGCTGGATCTAAGATAAATGGTGACTAATTTCTGGAAAAAAAAAATTGTAATGTTTTTTCCTATTTTCCTGTGAAATGAAACTTTTCCTGTCAGTAACAACCAAAAAAGAATTCCTTTGATTGAAATAACATTGGTTTGCAAGTTTAGCTTTGATAAAACTGTATCCATAGGTGTGTGAGCCAGGGGGTGGGATGCAGCCACCCCATTTTCAGAAATTTTTGAAGTTTTTCGGGCAAAATGCTGATGGATCAGGCAAAAGTACTCGCGAGAAAATGTCTCTAAAAGGTGGTCAAGGCCAGGCATGTAGGCTAGATTCTCTGACATTTGCCTTATCAAAAAGGAGTTAGGTCAAATGATATAAGGATCCAGGTATTCTGTTTTGGAAAAGCCATATATCATTTAAATGTGTGTTGTAGAAATCCACAATAAAGATATTTTTTCAATCAACAAAACAATGAAAAAAGAATCAAAGGAAATGAAGACCAAAACTTTTGCTTTTGTGGCGACTCTGAAAAGAGCCGTTTTGAATGGCTCCACAAGGAGCCATTTAAAAATTTTCTTGAACCGTTTTATTAGACACCAGAATTGTTAACGGGTTTGTTTTTACTGCGATTTGAGTGCGTTTGGACAATACTCGTTCTTTCGGGCATCGTGCAAATTTTTTCGGGCAGGTGTCCATATGCTTATGCCTGTATTACAGCATGAGCTAAAGGATTTTGCTTCTTTTTTAACAAGTTTGTTATAATAACAGAGCTGAATTAGTGTGTTGTAATATTACACAGGTTTGAGGAAGCAATTTCAAGCCAGCCTATTGCAGTTGCCATGTGTACAGATCATGTTCGTCTCTGTGGTACTCTGCTGATTGTAACTGGCACAGTTCTTGTCCTGAGCAGTACTTGGTCACTTGGAATAATAGGAACATTTCTAGGTAAATGTCAAACTTCACAGAAGTTGAACAAAAATATAGATCAGATTGATCCTAATAATTATTAGTTCTACCCATGAAAACATCAATATTCTTCCTGAACACAACATTTCCTTTAGCATCAGGTCAAAAGAATGTGATGGTCAATCTACTGCAACTTAAATCAGTTTAACATAATATACATTATAGCTTCAAAAGTGCTACCTTATTGTAGAGGTACAGTCTAGGTCTAAGGAAGGGTCAATTTAAAGCTATAATGGAAACTGAATTATTTATATTATGGACATTAATTTAATTTGTGGACAAATGGAATTTAATTTGTGGACAAATGTGGAGTTGTCATAAACAACTTTCTGAGCTTAGGTCAACTCTGAAGACATTTGGTCCAAACCTTAGTCACTTGACCCCTCCTTCAACCGATACTGTACCTCTATTTGAAAGCTATAATGGAAACTGAACTATTTATTTGCAGGGGATTATTTTGGACTTCTGCTGAACAAGAGAGTTACAGGTTTTCCATTCAATGTCATGAACAACCCAATGTACTGGGGATCAACAATGAACTTCTTGGGATACTCATTAAGGTAAAAGTCTCGCTCTCTTTTGTTTTTCCTGAGACAATGTTAGTAACATACATACATACAGATGATCCTTTATTAAAAGTGTCTGGTCATTGTAGTGCCAATGGCACTAATTGGGGTCACAGATAAAATACAAATCATTCACAATTATTTTAGAACTTAAAACTTAAAAACTTAAAAATCTTAGCTTAAAACATTTTTCTTAAAACTACCTAAAATACAAAATTATTTTGTGCTAGGGTCTGTTGGATTATGCTCGTAAAATAGAGTATTATGCTTTTGGGCGTCACCTGTGAAACCAGGGTATTATGCCCAAAATTATGCTTGGCCAGAGGTATTATGCTCAAATTATACCAGACTAAAATGACACTTCTACCCCACCCCCCATATAGGCCCATACCTGTTAAAGGGGCTAGGTCACGCACTTTTAGGCAATTTCAGAACTGATCAAATGGTCATAGAATTAACTAATAATATATCACAAAAATGGCTCCAAACTATAGAAGATCTCAAACAGAACATAGGAAAGCCAAGAAGTGACATGGATGGACAAAACTGGAGACGATTGAAATGCATTGCACTTGGGTAAAATTGAAAAACATTGGCCCACCTTTTCTCAAATTTATATCAGTGTTTATTAAAATGTCATTTACACAGCTGGAAAATCATTCTCAGTTGTCATGTGGCTGTGATTTTACAAATGAAAGACTCTTGCTCTGCGAATTTGACATTTCGAGCTCATAATTAACAAAATTAAACAAAATTACCTAAAATAGCGTGACCTGGCCCCTTTAATTCTATCATGATGCAAATCCATGAACTATATACAAGCTTGGAAGCCTGGCATGAAGAGATAACCAGACCTTTGATTATACCAAAATGTACTGGGTACGAGTCTTAGGTATCAAGTTCCTAAAATATTCCTGCTTTTATCAACGGCTTTTATCAACTTTGTACATTCTAGCTTGAATTGCTGGCAAAATTTGCACACACTTCTCACAGTTTTCAGAAACAACAGCATAATGCTGCAAAAATGTTAGTATTATGCCAGCATTATGTCTGATGCTCCAGATATTATGCTCTGAATTATGCCGGCATAATGCGACAGACCCTATTTTGTACAATATATTTCTTACACAGCAAGAACTAAGTTGAGCATAATTTACAATCCCCAATATATAAGAACATGTACAATTTAAGGGAACTTTACTTTCATTGAATATTATTCTAACTAGTGCTTGGGAGGCATGGTGAGCTCAGGGTTAGTGTGTTCATCTCCGGGTTGAACGGTCTGGGTTTGAGTGCCTGCCGTGGACATTGTTTTGTGTTCTTGGGCAAGATATTTGTACAGTTAAGTTAATCTTTAATCTTGGAATAAAGGTGAGAAACTACAAATAAAAGCATTACACCCGCTTTCAATGTTACATGCATAGTGACTATCTCTCGACATGCCATCTTTTGACATGCTATGTAACCTGGCCTACATCAAAATGTAAGCACAAGTGGCTTCTTTACGGTCAACCTCGACTTTTAGTCATGAAAGATGGATTTATTTGACATCAAACTAGGCTAGGAGTATCAAGAAAACATTCTGTGNCAAATTTCGAGTCTTCCCGGAGACTTCCCCGTACGCGTCTTTCGTATACCTTATGGCCACAGCAAAGAAAATGGCAATGTGTAATTATATAAATTGCACCCGAGCCTGAATCCAGGTCTGTTCATTTGCACAATGTAACGTTCGGAATTTCGCCGTCACGAGTAATCTATTAGACAACCTGCAACTGAAATATTTATTTATTATTTTTATTATATTTTGGGGGGTGGTCCGTAGAGGGGGTCCGTGGATCGGTCCATAGGTAGTCCGCGGACCCGGTCTGTAGTGGGGGTCCGCGGACCGGGGGTCAGTGTTTTCGGGTTACCCTTAATCAGATCTGATGTTTGGCCACCCGTTAGTAAATTAATAGCAAGGAACGATGCTCGTGACCGCGACTTTTGTTTTACGATTTGAGAACTGAAACATTGTTGATCCGTTCCCTAGTTTTTGCGAACAGTCATGAATGACTACTAAGTTTCACTGTTACTTTAAAATTACACCCGCTTTCAGTGTTACGTGCATAGCGACTGTCTCTCAACATGCCATCTATCGACATGCTATGTAACCTGGCGTACGTTAAAATGTAAGCACAACTGACTTCATTACGGTCAAACTCAACTTTTAGTCATGAAAGATGGATTTATTTGACATCAAACTAGGCTAGGAGTATCAAGAAAACATTCTGTGAGGGATAAATCGACTGTTTTAAATGTTTACATCTTTCGAACATTAACTGAACGGTAGCGGCCCAATTCCACCGGAAGTCACTATTGAGAGCCGATCGACTACACTAAAATCGTTTGAATTATCCCTTAAATCGGAATTCCACAACCTTCTTCATTCATTTGAGGTCAGTAATTAACGTATACTTGTCATTTGTTCCGCTAATAACCGGGAAAATTACCAGTTTCACAGGTAAACGGTCTTTCAGCCGTTTACATAGCATGTCGAAAGATGGAATGTCGAGAGATGGTCGAAGGATGTCGCCTATGCACGTAACACTGAAAGCGGGTCAATGTCTGATTTGTCTTCTTGGGACTTCCTATGTCTGGGACTCTCCTCCTATCAGGGAATCGTATATGTCATCGAAGTGCTTTGTTATATTGGATAAAGGGAAACCCGCGGGTAACTCAAGGGATTACTCGCAGTCTCTTTTATGGGGTGCAATAGCAGATGTTGGTCTTATATGGGTACTCGGGACGGAAAGCAGGTGATTTTACCCAACCAGACATCTTTTAGGGTTACAGGGGAAGAGGAATTTTAAAAATCACCCTGTTGCTTTGCTTTAGTCAACAGGCTTGAAATCTCTATCGATGAAAGCTACTTTTAAGTCACTATAATTCTCATTTATCTTTCTGTTCTAAACCATATCCACATTAGTCTCCTTTAGGGCAGTAATACAAATATTTCGACAAGCATCCCCTGCCCCATAATCAGAGGTGTTCCCTCCCCCGCGGGATAAATTACTGATATCGCAGGAAAGGAATATACCGACTTTACGCTTTTATTACCTATTGACTTTACAGGACATGATGACGACTGCAAAAATTCTCAAGGACGAACACCACCACCACTTCCACCACGTGAAAAGCGAATACCACCCCCAATCCCACCGCGTCCAGATTCAACACCACCCCAAGGCCCACCACATGCACAGCCAACACTAGCCCCACCCCCACCACACGTACAGCCAACATTAGCTCCACCCCCACCACACGCACAGCCAACACTAGCCCCAACCCCACCACACGCACAGCCAACATTAGCCCCACNAACTGAATTATTTATATTATGGACATTAATTTAATTTGTGGACAAATGGAATTTAATTTGTGGACAAATGTGGAGTTGTCATAAACAACTTTCTGAGCTTAGGTCAACTCTGAAGACATTTGGTCCAAACCTTAGTCACTTGACCCCTCCTTCAACCGATACTGTACCTCTATTTGAAAGCTATAATGGAAACTGAACTATTTATTTGCAGGGGATTATTTTGGACTTCTGCTGAACAAGAGAGTTACAGGTTTTCCATTCAATGTCATGAACAACCCAATGTACTGGGGATCAACAATGAACTTCTTGGGATACTCATTAAGGTAAAAGTCTCGCTCTCTTTTGTTTTTCTTGAGACAATGTTAGTAACATACATACATACAGATGATCCTTTATTAAAAGTGTCTGGTCATTGTAGTGCCAATGGCACTAATTGGGGTCACAGATAAAATACAAATCATTCACAATTATTTTAGAACTTAAAACTTAAAAACTTAAAAATCTTAGCTTAAAACATTTTTCTTAAAACTACCTAAAATACAAAATTATTTTGTGCTAGGGTCTGTTGGATTATGCTCGTAAAATAGAGTATTATGCTTTTGGGCGTCACCTGTGAAACCAGGGTATTATGCCCAAAATTATGCTTGGCCAGAGGTATTATGCTCAAATTATACCAGACTAAAATGACACTTCTACCCCACCCCCCATATAGGCCCATACCTGTTAAAGGGGCTAGGTCACGCACTTTTAGGCAATTTCAGAACTGATCAAATGGTCATAGAATTAACTAATAATATATCACAAAAATGGCTCCAAACTATAGAAGATCTCAAACAGAACATAGGAAAGCCAAGAAGTGACATGGATGGACAAAACTGGAGACGATTGAAATGCATTGCACTTGGGTAAAATTGAAAAACATTGGCCCACCTTTTCTCAAATTTATATCAGTGTTTATTAAAATGTCATTTACACAGCTGGAAAATCATTCTCAGTTGTCATGTGGCTGTGATTTTACAAATGAAAGACTCTTGCTCTGCGAATTTGACATTTCGAGCTCATAATTAACAAAATTAAACAAAATTACCTAAAATAGCGTGACCTGGCCCCTTTAATTCTATCATGATGCAAATCCATGAACTATATACAAGCTTGGAAGCCTGGCATGAAGAGATAACCAGACCTTTGATTATACCAAAATGTACTGGGTACGAGTCTTAGGTATCAAGTTCCTAAAATATTCCTGCTTTTATCAACGGCTTTTATCAACTTTGTACATTCTAGCTTGAATTGCTGGCAAAATTTGCACACACTTCTCACAGTTTTCAGAAACAACAGCATAATGCTGCAAAAATGTTAGTATTATGCCAGCATTATGTCTGATGCTCCAGATATTATGCTCTGAATTATGCCGGCATAATGCGACAGACCCTATTTTGTACAATATATTTCTTACACAGCAAGAACTAAGTTGAGCATAATTTACAATCCCCAATATATAAGAACATGTACAATTTAAGGGAACTTTACTTTCATTGAATATTATTCTAACTAGTGCTTGGGAGGCATGGTGAGCTCAGGGTTAGTGTGTTCATCTCCGGGTTGAACGGTCTGGGTTTGAGTGCCTGCCGTGGACATTGTTTTGTGTTCTTGGGCAAGATATTTGTACAGTTAAGTTAATCTTTAATCTTGGAATAAAGGTGAGAAACTACAAATAAAAGCATTACACCCGCTTTCAATGTTACATGCATAGTGACTATCTCTCGACATGCCATCTTTTGACATGCTATGTAACCTGGCCTACATCAAAATGTAAGCACAAGTGGCTTCTTTACGGTCAACCTCGACTTTTAGTCATGAAAGATGGATTTATTTGACATCAAACTAGGCTAGGAGTATCAAGAAAACATTCTGTGAGGGATAAATCAACTGTTTTGAATGTTTACATCTTTCGAACATTAACTGAGCGGTAGTGGCCCAATTCTACTGGAAGTCACTATTGAGAGCTAGCTGATTGACTACACTAAAATCGTTTGAATTATCCCGTAAATCGGAATTCCACAATCTTCTTTATTCATTTGAGGTCAGTAATTATCATATACTTGTCATTTGTTCCGCTAATAACCGGGAAAATTGCCAGTTTCATAGGTAAACGGTCTTTCAGCCGTTTACATAGCATGTTGAAAGATGGAATCTCGAGAGATGGTTGAAAGATGTTGCCTATGCACGTAACACTGAAAGCGGGTGTAAACGTTTTTCATTAACAACGGTCAACAACCACCACCATTACCTCACAGTTCATTTTACTAAGCATTACAATTTCTCTCAACATTTGTTTGTACTAAAGTTGAAATTTTGAAAACTTCTCTTTGTGTTGTAATAGGCGATGTAGTCCAGCAGGAGTACTCCTAACAGCACTAGTTGCAGTATGTTACAAAATAGCCCTGTTATTTGAGGGGTAAGGCTTAGTTGTGAATTAGATGTGAGGTGACCAGCTTCTGTAGAACTTGTCTTCATTTTTGTTTGAGTGGACATCATTAGCTTTGCTCTCACCTTCCTCTTGTATATAGATTGTGGCAATGGCAAGCTTTCAGTTGTCAAATTGTACCTGCAGCTGGCAATTTTGCTGCCTGCAGTGAATTATTTGATGTCTTCTTCACACTGGAGTCTGAAAACAAATATATCTCTGGTCTTTACTGTCTTCTACTTTTGTTATCTGCCTGCTTGTACAAAATACTTTAACAGGACTGGCCTTCTGTGGACATGTTATTGTTACATATAATAATCAGTTTTACTTTGAAAATGTTAATTTCTTCGTAAATTTATAATTTCGATTTCAAACTTCTGAGACAATGATTTTTTTTCCTTTTCTAGGCCTTTTACTGAAAGAATTTATGCTGAAAAGAAGTTGAGACAAGAAAAAGAAGAATGAAAATTAATAAATTATGCTGATAATTTATTTTGACCTCATTTTCTATTACTTAAAAAAAGTGTTAAAACTACAATTCAAAGTAGGTTATTTTTTATTCATTGACATGGAACAATTTATTTCAGAGTTTGGTTTAAGTTAAGAAGAAATATTTATATTCATAAAGGTTGACAAAATCTAGATATTGTTAAGTTTTTCTGGGTTTTCCTGTTTTTGCGTCTCAGTTTGGTTCCAGAGCCTGACAATATTTCATGTGACATTGTGGGCTGGTTATATCCTACTGCAACTGTGCAATGCATTGGACTGCCAAGGCCCCATTAGGGGTTTTCGAGCTACGGGATATTTGGGAAAAAAATTAATGGGATACAGGATATGTGGGGGAAAAATCAATGGGATAAAATCTATGGATATTTAGAACAGATATCCCGGGATATCAGGTAAGAAAAGTGCTAATAATTCAACTGAAAAACGGATTTTGCACTTCTTTACTAAACAGATCAATCCAAGATCATGGAGATCAAAGGAACTGAAGAATCCTTGCCCAGAGTGGATTATTCAGTTCCTCTGATGCACCATGATCCGAGAGATCTTGGATTCATCTGTTTAGAAAAGAAACGCAAAATCTGTTTTTGGATTTAAGAATCCAATCTTGGATTTTCTTTAAGAAACGCACCCTTAGATCGCTCCTAATGGAGCCTCACTGCTTGTTGCTGGGCCATCACCAAATCTTTAGTCTGCAAATGCAGACGTAGCTGTAAATTTGTCTGCATTCGGAGGCTATTAAATCTTAATCTAATGCTTGTTTTAGTGTATCAAGAAATAAGGAGACATTAGGGGTTGTTAAAAACATTCAAATTGTAGATTAAAAAGAACTTATCTGAGCCAAATCATTTACAATCATTTTGGAATGAGGCTGTTTCAGCTTGTTTGCACAATGACCTGAAAGCCAGACATAGAAAACATGAACAGATAAAGGACAAGTTTTTAGACTGATTATCATTGACTTAAAATATCCTGAAAATATGTTTCCACAGGTCAGGAGAAATTAGGAAACATTTCTGAAATGTCGCATAAAAATTCTGATAACACAATACTGCAAACCCTAATGTTGCCTTCAATAACTGACTCTTAAAAACTAATGATTGTGGTTAAAACTAACATGCTGTTGCTTGTTGGAAAGAGAGAAACAAGTTCTAGCTGAATTGCTGTGTAAGTTGTTGTTGTTTTTTTCTGTTTGCCTCAAATAGACCAAAAATATGCCAACACAAGAACATTAGACGGCTTCTTGATATATTAAGTTATTTACCGCTCCTTTGTTCTTTTGGCTCATTTTCCAGTCTGAATTTCAGCCGTCTCTTCTCCGTTACTCACGAGGAGGGCGTGGGAGAGAGAGAGAGAGACTCTCCCACACCCCCATCATGGGTAAGGAAGAAGAGACGGCTGAAATTCAGACTAATTTTCCAACATTGCTGTGATTATTTGTTTGTATTGTATCATATGATAAGAACTTTTGCGCTTTACTGTTGATGTTAATTTGAAATTACCATATTTTTTATTGTCTTTAACTTAACATGTCATAGGGACATGGCATTGCCTTATGTGCCCAAGGGCACAAAGAAGATTTGAGTAATTAAGGACATAGCATCCTAATCTCTTGGCTCAAAGTGATAGTATCGGGTAGTGATAATGTCCATGCAGGGTACCAACACATTGTAGTCAAAGAGACTAGATTTTAAGTGTGGGTTCTCAGATCTAAAATTGGGGAAAATATTGCAAATGACAGACTTTTGATTTGTAAATGAAAAGAAGTTCCTCTGTGCAGACTCTGAAGAACTTATATAAATATGTGTATAGTGACTAGCTTATTGTAGCCTTTATTCCAATCGGACAAGTCACTGAACCTGGGCCAAGATAAACAAAAACAAGTGGTGTTGAAATTTAATAAATCTGTGATGGACAAATTGAGTGTTGCTAATTCTTAGGAATTGTGGCATGAGTCAGCAAGCAATGACAGTCAGCAGGATCCCACAATAAGCTGTGTTTTCATGGTAGAGGGCAAAATGTGTCTCTCACTTATTCTTATACTGTGCAAAACACTTTCTCTATTCAAAATTCTCGAACGTGATTGGCTATCAGCAGCCCGATTTGAGCATTAATTAGACAGTGCACGCGTCATGTTTGTAATTGGACAGTACGCGTCATTTTGCGGGCGCTGTTGCGGTGCACTTTGTTGAGTAAACTGATGTGTTTTAAAGCATTCATAACGACGTTTAATCGTTCAGTGCTCAATCGATGGTTTGTTCGTTTCTCGAATTTTTTCATAGTTTTGATTAATTGGTAACAGCACATCGTGTCGTCCAATTCAGTCTGTACTCATACTCGTGATTAACAAATCTCACTCCCGCTTCGCGGTCGTCCGATTTTGTTAATCACTCGTATGATTACAGACCGAATTGGACTCCACTCAGTCCTATTACCATTATTAATCACCCGTCCTGCAGGCAAAGTGCACTAGGACTGTTCTCTCTAGCTCCACCAAAAATGTAGGAAAATTCGGCCTTCAACTGCATTTGAGATAGACAGATTCAACACTTGCTTACAAGGAGAACTTTAAGTAAAGTCCTCTAAAACCAAACATGTGAAAAGATCTTTTGGTCAGAATTGTACTTTTTGTGGTGTAATGGAACAGTTTTAGTTCTAGATCAACCAGTGGATATGTTTGGGAAGGGAACCAGAGTCGAATTTGTAAAAACTATCAAATCCATTTCCACCCTTTCCTTGTGTCAAAGCCCCATTGGGTAAGAGGAACAGGTGGCTCTGGGAACAAGAACAGGCTAAGTCTACTCCCCTGCCCACCCCACTTTGACCTCGTCGCTGAAAGGAATTGCGATAATTTTAATTGCATCGATTTAAATTTTTTTTTTCTTGCACCATGAACGATGAGGTGAGGAGTCACTCCGAAATTCAAAATTTCAAACCCTACTTAAAAAGAGAATTTACTCTACATTTTAATCAAACTTCTTAACAGACTTTTCTGGCTTTTTCTTTCTTCAATGTGTTGAAAATACATACATATAAAATTTTTGTACAGCGTAGATCGCCCGTTTCAATACACTGAAGAGGGGCCAAGCCCGGAAGCATGATTTGACATTTTTAACGTTGTATATCATTTTCGTCACACAAGTGTCACGCATCACGTAAGTTCTCACATTCCGTTCTAGCATAGTTAGAACTTGTTAGTTTGAATGTATGGTTCTAGATAAAGGCCAATTTTCAATACGCCATTCCAGGCGAGAAAAAGAACAAAATTGAAACCTTTTTTAGACAACTAATACTGGCGAAAATTGGATTGGATAGTTTTTGGAAAGTTACCGGAAGTCCCAAAAAAGGTTAAAAGGGGGCGGCCTCTAAAAATCACGTGTCACATCGGCGGGAATATTTTGAATCCCAAATAAGATCATCTGATTGGCTTCTTAGGTGGAGTGTGTGACGTCAACCGCTCGCGGACTGTTCGCTTTGCGAGCGAAAGAAAATCAAGGGAACGTTTACTACCGAGTTTTCTGCATAATCTTAAAAATTATCCACCATCCTTAGGTCAGGAAGGGAAGACACCTTCATCTCGGCTAGGGAGATTACTAAGTGTAAGTTTTACTGTGATATTTCTGTAATTTATTTATTTAGAGCACCACGGCACTGTCGTTTTCGCTGCCGATACTCTGTTATTGCATCTGTGCATGACAGTTCGTGAATGATAAGGGGCCAAAAGCTGATTTTTGTCGTTGCTGTTTTGTGAACAACGTAGCCAGACTTTATGGCGGTAATTTAGGACCTACGACGATAAAATATTGTGTAGGAAAAGAGCATAAACATCAATGTTTACGACTTGAACGTGTGGGAGTGTGCTATATATTTATTACATGGATGGAAAAGAATTTCGATTGCTTTTGCGTCGTATTCAAGCAACAGTAATCAAATTTCCTTTTTTTCTTTCCTGTCAATTTTCAATGAGTTTTGATACTGCGGTTTTATTGTTTTTAAGTCATTCTATAAGGCAAAAACTTGCAAGTGCTTTGATCTTGTTGAAGCTTAAAATTCCATTTCCTGTCTCGGGAACACATAGTGGATTTGTAGTTCGCGCCGACGTAATCAGCATACTACGTTTACAGTTTTCCAATGAGAAGTTTGCTCTGCTAACTCTGACCAGCAAAGATGGTACGACTTTTCGTTTACTGTATTGCTGGTCATCTTTTTGTTCGTCAACCGCGTGCAAATCTCGCATTTTCCAAGTCGGAAGTTGAAATTCTGTGTGGGTGTATAAAGGCGAACAAGTCTTGTCGTGTCAACGTATTTTTCTACTGTCTGATCTTCAGGATAGTAGCTGCTGAAAACCATATCTTATATTGTTCTTCTTTTAAACTGGTTCTATATTTCCTCTATACATTTAAGAAAATGTCATTACTAGGTGCATTTTTGTGAAAATTTTCCTTGTAACACCGTCCAGCCCAATTATGAGTAAGCTTGTTTACACTGTAGATTCTGTGAACTGAATTGCCAAATCTTCAAACCGATCAGGCTTATTCGTTGTGTTTCTCATAGTAAAGACTATAATCTAAAAACAAGGCGACTAGAAAGAACTTTACATGCTTCTGAATTTGAAATACGGAACATTCCGATTTTATACAATGTTGACTCGAAATATCGCCACGTTCTGTCGATTTAGAAAGCTTACACTTCGCCTTCAGCAGTTACAATGTTTGAATCATGTTCTTAACATCGTTGTCAACACTCTTAACCTGATACGTTTGCATTCTGTGAAAAGATCGTTAATCGCACTATTGCAGCAACTCTGGATTTTGTATTGGTGTCTTTAAAACGTTTTCTACTTTATTACATAACGAGATGTAATCAACATTGTTGTAGGTTTCATGAATTGCACAAAAACCTAGGGTATTCCTCAGGTTTACAGTATACCAGATTTATTTTGTCACGGTTCGGTTGTGCTTTAAAGGTGATGTTATTTATAATCCATGGTACAAAATTGAAGTACATGGTTAGGCTTGGAAATCTTTGACTTGCCTCAAAAAGTCTTTGAGGATGTGTGTTTGGCCGAGTTACATGTATATTTTACTTTTCCTTGAGTAGGTGAAAATTACGGTGCATATTATGTCGATATCAAATGTCACGATTCTATGCTCTCAGTTAATAAAGGTCTGAATGAATAGTCACTGGCAAATTTGCTTTATGAGATATTAACATGCACAATTCTGCTGGAATGGTGAATGTTATTTTTTTAAACTTATATACCAAGCATTGCACAGTTAATCTTTTACTCGGGCTGTTTACAGTCCATTTTTGACTAGTACAGTTACTTTAGTTACTTACAGAAACATGCTAACCTGAGAGATACATGTAAAGCCTTACAGACATCTTAAAACTCTGTTTATCTGCCAGGGCTGGTAATTATTTTTCAGATATCTGGGCATGTCACAAATTGAAAATATGGGTTCAAATCATGAGTCACAGATCGAAACTGAATGAATTATATTGAAAGAGGAAGTTATTTTTGATGCTGGATACAAGTTATAGCTTTTTAACCAAGAGAACATGTTAACCCGTCAACATGCCAGGACATTGAGCAAGTTTCTAGCTCAATGGTTATTGTATCTACTTTGGGCTAGGTCAGCCATTCACCTTATTGTAAAGTGCCTAACCCCTTTGCTTTTAATTTCTAAATATAAATGTAGTACTACTTTTGAACACACTTAGGTATCAGGCTTGAGTCAAAACAGACTGCTTGAATGAGGCTGTGGTGCAAGACATGAAGAGGGGCCGTCCTGAAGACCACGACAGTGTATATGGTCAAAACAGGCAGAGTTACCGCCCTCCCCCTGTTCTTGCCCCGGCCCCTGTTGGTATGACGAGCAATTATGAACAGCTCCAGCAGGATGGACTGAGTGGTTTGGCGCAGTTTCCTGCAGCTGCACAAATGGCAGGGGCTCCAGGCTTCCAGTGAGTAGAACAAAAACATATTTTTATTGTAGTCTGGTTAAACAGAAATTCTCCCTTTTGGGGTCCAATTTTTTATCTGCTTGAGAAATACCAAGGATTCATTTGACAATAGTCTAGATTGATGATTAATCAGAACAGAGATTCATTCCATGTCTTGTGTAAGTTATTGCTCACGTTTTGAATTTTTTTGTGCAAGTTACTATCACTCTGAGACACCTCATGTAAACTGTTGTCTGTAGAGATATTTTGTTACATACAGAAGTGCCCATTAGTACCCAAGGCTCCGAAGAGAGACTTGTATTTATATGGAATATTTTATTATGGTAGTTATGTCAACCTACACCGTTTTGGACACTTGATTGGTAGACATATCCTGACATCTCTGCATGAAACCTTTGATGTATAAACAGTAATTAATGGCAGTAAAGTCAGCTGTTCTTTTGCGTGCAACTTAACATTGTTGTGACGTAATGTTCTAATGNTTCACCCAAATCATCACTTAGCATGGTTTTGCACTCACCCCTTCAATTAATGGCAGTAAAGTCAGCTGTTCTTTTGCGTGCAACTTAACATTGTTGTGACGTAATGTTCTAATGTTATTTCGCACTTTGCTTGAGCAACTTGCAGGTTACAACTTGAACTATTTCAGTTCTGTTTATTGATAGATTGTGAGAAAGTAGTTTGTTTAAATCATCAAACTGGGAATTGGTCTTAAAATCCAAATTTGCTCTGCCAGTTTCAATTTTGAAACTTGGTGGGTTTTTTTTTTTTTGAAAGTTGGTTACCAGTCAGAGTTTGGAAATTTGAACTCAACCTGCCACTAGTTTCACACATTGTTAGTAGTGATGAACATGGATGTCATTGCGGGACAATCAATTATTTTCTCTCACTCTGACAAAAGTGTTTATTGATTCATGTTATATGCAAAAAATGAAATTAACGTAATATAATTGCAAATTTAGCATTATCTTTTGTCTTGTGAATTTCTAATTTTTGAAAGCACTCACTTCCTCTGCCGCGAAATACATTTTTAGAAGAACCCTGACTGAAACTAATTCTTGAGTTTCTTGCATGTATCAAGTGATAATCCTTTTGATGTACCGTTTGCCTGACATCAAGCGCTTCTAGGTTCTTGCAATTTGAATATCTTCCTGAGAAGCTAACACAATGTTTGTGTCATTTGTGTGGCTGTGTATTAACTTGATTGTTTTCATTTTCAGAGTTCAAGCTACAACTCCTCAGTCACATCCTCATGTGCAAAATCCAGCTTCTGCTCATCACCAGGTGAAGGAAATTTTGTAATTGAACAATTTTGTTTACCACTTATTACAGTGTGTATACTCAATTCAAGGTCACTAGCAAATCCTTTGCAAATTGAACAGTATTAACATTAGAATGCTTAATTGATTAAAATGGTCACATATTTATTGCTTCTGTGAGATGGAAATCTACTGTTGCCATTCAAAGTTTTTGTTTGTTAAATCTGCACTGAATTTTGTTGGGTGGCCTTGTTTGAAGTAGTCACACTGTAAGTGGACTTGTCATAAGTTAGTCTAAGCCAAAAAAAGGTTATTGAAAGACATGTTCTGCTGATTTTGCCACTTACATGTAAAGGTTACGATATGTGTTTACAAAAATTGCTTTGGTGGTGTTTCTTTTTTAGGGCCAGGCCCAGGTCCATGCGCAAGCTCAAGGTCAACAACAACAGTTTCAGCGGTTAAAGGTATAGCATGAACATTGAACTCAAATTTTCTCAAGAAATGTACCTTTATTGTTCTTTATACACTTTTATAGGGCAATCTTTGTTTTCTTCATACTGAAATGTAAAATAAAGACCTTAAGCCCAACTGTCAGTCAGAGCCAGTTTTCTAAGACACTGAGGTTGTGTGTCCCAGCCTAGCATGGGTTTCAGTGTAAGTAAGTGGTTGGTTTAATAGGAATTATATTTAACTCGGGAAATGTCAAAGTTACATAAATCGAATGCTAGTCTTCTTAGGGACTGTGTTGGAAGTTTTGGAATCTTTTTTTTTTCAGTATTGAGCTTTTGTTTCATTTGCTTTCTTTAAGGTTGAGGATGCCCTGTCATATTTAGATCAAGTCAAACTTCAGTTTGGAAACCAACCTCAAGTTTACAATGATTTCCTGGACATCATGAAAGAGTTCAAATCTCAAAGGTATGTATTGTACAGCATTTGAACAAGCAGTTCTGGGTTTTCTTGTGGTTGAGCTTAAAAGATCTCTGTCACATGATTTGTGTAACAAAGTTTTCATTTGGTACATTCATAGCAACAAAGAGAAATAACACTTATTAGCAACTAACAGTACTTATTTTTCGTGGCCAACTACACACAGTGATTTGGTGTCTCTGTTGTTGAATCAGTGTCCAGTCAGACACTTAACCAGGAAATTTGAAAAGGTTTTTTTGTGTTGTTAGCAAATTGTTGAATTGCTGTGTGTGCACTTTCCCTCCAGCATTGACACTCCAGGAGTCATCAGTCGAGTGTCATCGCTGTTCAAAGGACACCCTGAGCTAATAGTAGGCTTCAACACATTCCTTCCACCTGGGTACAAGATTGAGGTGCATGCTAGTGATCCTGGGACCGTATCAGTTACAGCCCCAAATGGACAGTCTCAGATTACAACCATCATCCAACCTGCACAACAGCCAGTAAGTGAACATTATGGAGTTCATTATTTTTCACATTCATTGTTTATTTCTATAAAAGGCGTAAAACGTCATTGTTTAATTTGACCCTTACTCTTATATGCAGAAGTCTTTTTATCAGTCTTTGCTTGCCAGGGTTTCCTTTTTATGTCCTCTGAACATAACCCTATCACAGCAGTCATCTGTGTTGGTTATTCATGGTGTACATTCTGTTTGATGATAGCGCTGTAAGAAGTTCAATTAATAATTGTTTTTACTTTGTGATTTATAGGTTCATCAGTCAGGAGGCCAACAGGCACATCAACCGCAGCAGAAACAACAGCAGCAGCAACAGCAGCAGCCATTACAACAACAGCAACCGCTACAATCACCTACTGCTCAACAAGGACAGGTACATTATTCAAAACATTAATTTTATTGATCCTGTTTTGGCATCCTAATCTAATTGGCTCTACAGATAGATTTGAGCAGTTTTGCTGACCTTTGATTTTACTGGAACTTGAAACAGAAGTTTGTACTTCAAATTGTATTCTTGCTAAGTAAATGTATACGCTCCTCATTTTGGCTGCTTTCCAAAGGTCTCCATTGGTGTTTCAGCCAGAAAATTTTACTTGAGGGCCAAAGTGGCCCCTGAAGATCTTTTTTAGGGGCCAGTTTTTTTAGGAAAGGGGCCAATAAACTGAAAGCTACAGAGGGAAAAAATGCATCAGGGTACCAAGGAAAATAAAACAGTTTATTAGGATCTATGATAAAATTTAATAGTAAGTGCTTTTTGAAGTGTTTCTACTCAGTAACTTTTCTTTTGAATCAGATACTAGTATGAAGAATCTGTACATTACAAGAGAACAATCCTTAGGCATACATGACACAGTCAATGATCAAGGGTTTGCAATGCATTATAGGGCGATTTCAAAGACGGTCAGCCATTTGGAAGTTTTCCGAAGTGAGAAGAATAAATATTGCAAAGCAAAAGGATGGATTGATTTCTTTTCTTATGTTGAATGTTTTAGAAGCAAAGATCTTTCAATATGATTTTCTAGCAGGACATAATGTGTGCCAAAATAACTGTTATTGATCGTCAACACAGAGAAATGTAGTCACCATTATGCCGTATTATGGCGACTAAACCAGAATTTTTGGTTGCCATGGATGAAATGTTAGTTGCATTGGTGACCGCATTGATCACAATTTCGAGTCCTGGATGGCTTTTGAAATATTATGCCTGTGTTAAGCCTGCAGTCTTGTTAAACAAAGGAGCCAAATTGGCCCTTTTTTCGTTTTTCTGGGGGCCATCTCTGATTGTAACGCGGGATTCCCGCAATGGCGCGCTCTGGCGGAAACACTGCTCCATGATTCCTTCTTTTGTAGTAAGCAATCTATACCCAGATGAACACTCTTCATTTGAATATTTCTGGTTTATTTATTTCTTGTATGGTGAGGCAAGAACAGAACTTGTTTGGATGGCTAACAGGCCACCCTTGATTTTTCTGCAGAGGTTAGCAACTGCAGCCAGATAGCAACATCAGTGTTACGCATGTAAAAATACTTTTACAAGCTGTCTTTCAGTGGTTATTTGCCAAACAACGTAAAAATGGCATTGCTCCATCTGTTTTAGGGGAAACTATGAAACTATGCCTTATTTGTTTGACATATTTAAGTGTTTTTTTTCCTTTACACAGGGTCAACAGCCTGTGGAATTTAACCATGCCATAAATTATGTCAATAAAATCAAGGTAAAAAAAACCTGTGCCATGTTGATATTTTGGCAGTCATTCTAGATACATGTAGTTTTAGCCAATCAACAAAAATACATTGTTCCAATTTTGCCATGATTTTAGAACCGATTCCAAGGACAGCCTGACATCTACAAGGCATTTTTGGAAATTCTTCATACATATCAAAAGGAACAGAAAAACATAAAGGAGGTGAGAAATTTTGAGTTGTTTTTGATGTAGTAGGAAGGATAATGTGAGAGGCACGGAGGCCTCATGGTTAGTGCGCTCGTCTGCGGATCATGCGGTCCAGGTTTGAGCCCTGGGTACTGGTGAACTTAATGCTGGGGGTAACCCTGTGATGGACTAGCATCCCATCCAGGGGGAAGTGGAAATTCTCCAAGTTGCTTCATGCTACAGAAACCGGGATAAGCTCTGGCCTGATGGGCCACTTGGCTCATATGCAGACTTTACCAGGAAGAATAACGCAAGTAGTATGCAGTAAAGGCTAGAGACATATTTCTTAATTTCTTAATAAGATGGCAGATAATTTACTGCAGGTAGCAAAAATTGCCATCTGCCACCACATTTTAGTACGGTTCCACATGTGTTCTGTGTTTAAGAGTTTTTTTTTAATTCTGGGGACTGGGTAATTTTACATTAATGATAACCAATGCTTTTCTAGATATTCACATTTTAGCTAAAGTTAAAAAATTGCATTGTGCAATTGAAGTTTCCAGTCTCTGATTTAAAATCAAAACAATATTGGATTAACATGAGCATGGCTCCTATTTCTAAAGGTGGAATGTTGGAGCTGTGTTTGACTGACATTTACATGTACCTCAAGCAATGACCTGCTTACATCCTCAACAATGTTACAAACTAAAATTTAGTTATTGCTCTAAATTCACAGGCTGCAATGCAAGGAACTCCACTCTCTGAACAAGAGGTAAATACACATTATCATTAACATTGCAATATTTGAACTTTTATCTTCCTTCTATGATCTTTATTCTTTTTTTCTTTAGATCTATATGAGGGAAGCAAGACTCGCTAATGAGGTAATAAATTGTATTGAAAAAGTGTGCTCCAAACTTGTTTTATTGTTGACCATCAATTGTTTGTCAAATGATTATTATTGTCAAGGCATAGGTTTCCCTTCAAAAATATGGTGCACGGCTAGGTACAGTTGTATTCGCCTCCTTCTTGTTTTCTGACTTCAAGTTTTATCATTGTAGGTTTATCAACAAGTTGCAAAATTGTTTCAGAATCAAGAAGATTTGCTTAAAGAATTCAGTCAGTTCCTACCTGATGCTAATGGTGCCGCGACAGTGCCCGGGGTTTGTTGTATAGCTTGTTTGTTTGACACTATATAACTCAGTTTGGATTGTTTCTGGTGGAAATTTGCCTGTCATCAATTATTCCATGCAGCTGAAATTAAATTCTCTACCAAGTTTGGTGTTGAGAAATATCTATGTTTTTTCCTGGTCAGCAACTAGTTAATCCTTATTGACCGTATTGTTTCCAGGACAAATTGGCCACAAAATAAATCTGTATCATCTTCATGTGATTTGAAATGGCAGTCCAAATTAACTAACCCAGTATTTTCCTCATCATCTGAGGTAAAAATTAGTGTGATCTTGTGGCTGAGCTCCGAGGCTTATATGGTTGAGAGCTGTCTAACCTGCTTTTGACAGTAGTGTATCAGTGTGGCTAGTAGATTCACGGAATAACAAGTTTGGTATTGTTGCAGTTGCGGAACCATTGGTTGTTATGACAATAGTGCAAAGTAGCCCATTGATTTTTTATCCTTTGGTTTATTTGTAGGGTTTATTATCATCAAGCAGACTACAGTCACACTTGTCATCAGCAAGGAATGAGTATGCTCCTCCCGCAAAAAAGGCTGCTGGTAACCTACCAATAGAGATTTTGACATGTTTCTTTGATGAATTAAATCAGGATTTCTAATTTGATGTTCAATCTTATTTGCAGTGGGTCTAAATTCAACCAAACGTATGACACACCAGATAAGACGAAATTCCAACAGTGTCTCCTCCTCTCCCACCCATCCTCAGGCCAAGGTAGATCTATACATTGCTCTTCATCAGACGTTTCACTGTAGTTGAACCTAACCCTTCACACAACAGCCACTTAAGGGCAGGCGGTACTGGTCATTGTAAAGAGTTGGCCCTCAAAGAGAGGCTTCCGTAAGATTAAAGGTTAAGGGTCAGTGCATGACTGGGAGAAAACAGACTATGTTAGCCATTTTAGAGATGCAGCTGTTTCAGAGAGGTGGCTGTTAGAGGAGATTTGACTGTAGTTAAAAGTGGCTTCTGAAATGTGTCTTATAGGTGATGTTTTGAGTATGAGACTTGTAATAATTAGTATTACAGAAAGAGACATTCTTATTTTCATTGTAAGCTATAGAAGCACAGTATTTAAAGCAAGTAGAGTTTATTTATCTTGTGCAAAATATTGATTTTCTTATGTTGGACTTGTTTTTTCCTTACAATAGAAAAAGTCAAGAAGTGCAATCAAAGATGTGTCTCTGGCAGAGGCACAAAAAATTGGGACTTTCTCAGAATTTTCATTCTTTGAAAAGGTATGAAAAGAGGGCAAACCAACCTGGAACAATTATCTAGTGTTTTGTTGGTTAGAAGTTAGATTAACATTGCCATTTGTAGCTGAGCTTGATTTAATGTTCATTTCATTGCATTTGTGTAGGTTAGAAAAGCTCTCAAAAATCCTGAACTTTACGATAATTTTCTGCGCTGTCTTGTGCTCTTCAACCAAGAAGTCATATCCAGGGCAGAACTTGTTCAGCTGGCAGCTAACTTCTTAGGGTAAGCCTTTGTAACAGAAGCATTACTCTTAAGCTCTGGCCAAATGGACTCGCAGGTAGACGCAAGTTGAAAACTTGGGTATACTTGCGACTCTGTTTGTCCAGGCCTTGTGTGCACTTGCGTTGACTTGCGATGACTTGCGCTCACTTTGGTCAAGGTCAAATTTGCATGCAAGTTGATGCAAGTTTTTAGCCATTTGGCCACTCAACACAAGTCGCCGCAAGTTGAGTGACATCCATTTGTTGTTATAGCAACCTATTAGTCAATGAAATACACGATATATAGCCTTGAAATGGTTTTTTTGCAACTTGCGTGTACTTGCGAGGAAACTTGCAGGTCTGTTTGGCTGCCCAATGCAAGTCTCCATGCATGTTCAACTTGCAGCTACTTGCGACTAGTGACTAATTGCGAGTCTGTTTGGCCAAAGCTTTATGGTAGACAACATGTCACCACAAACCCAAGGATTTCATGTAGCAATCATTTCTGCTACTATGTCATTACTGTACCAAAAAAGTTACGGTCTATGAAATCAGCATATCGCTGCATATTTTTGCTTGCTATATTTTGCTTTCAGGAAAAGTCAAGATACAATGCCAAGTAAATTTCTAGCTTAAAGATATTTCAAATGAATGTTTTTCTTCCATGACCACATTTTGCTTTGCATGCAGCCAGGGGGACTAAGAGGACCTCATCTAATGTGTTGAACTAATCATTCTTTGCAGTAAATATGCCGAGTTGTTCCAGTGGTTTAAGGAATTTCTTGGCTACAAGGACTCCTCTCCCATGGAGAGTGTGGCTAGTTTCAAAGAAAGAACATCTGGTGAATTACATCACCTTGAAATAGACTACTCTTCATGCAAGAGATATGGTACAAGCTATAGGGCTCTTCCCAAGAGCTATACACAACCCAAATGTAGTGGACGCACAGCTCTGTGTAGAGAAGTTCTCAATGACACCTGGGTGTCCTTTCCATCATGGTCAGAAGATACGCCTTTCCCAGGAACCAGAAAAACTCAATATGAAGAGTACATTTTTAGGTAATACAAAGTGTTCTGTGCTGACAGTAATTTTAAAAACCCACTGACTCTATGATGAAGACTTCAGAAGTTGGTCGATATATATAATACCTATAATTTTGCATGTTTTGTCCCTCAGCTGTAATTGCCTCTTCTAAGTATTGTTTCTATTGTGTTTGTTGTTTTCTTCTTGAATACAGCTGTTTTGAGGAAAGTTTGTTCTACAGAAGTGTAAAAGCATATTGAACAATGCCTGAAGGTTGCTATGAGTAGTGGTAGTTCACCACTGCTTGATCGAAGTTCACAGTGTTTTGTAGCGATGGTGGGAGAAACCACAAATGCACATATTGATGGCTTTTCCTTCTGTCTTACTGAAACACTGAACCTCAATCACACAGTGGTAAACTAACACCACCCATAATACCTTTCAGCACTGTCACCTACACTGTTGTGCTTTTGTGTGACAACCTTACTTGAAACATCTCTACTCGTCAGTTTATGAAATTTTTGTTAATGCTTTTTTCTTCTTTATTTTCAGGTGCGAGGATGAACGATTTGAGGTTTGTTTTGTGTTTACTTACCAAATATTCTTTTACAAACGTTCCCATGGTTGGCCTTGATAGAATTTGAGTATCAAGTTGCATTAGTGGAACTCCTTGTGAGCAGAGCCCTATGACTTAGAAAATATGGTAACCCATGAAGCTAAAAAATTTTGGTTGTCACGTGATTGTCTAAACGTCTATTTGCCCCCATCGTGTAAATCAATGTGAAATGTCACTCTGCTACAACCTAGTTCCCAATGCTTTTCCCTTAGAGACCATTGGGGGCAGGTTTACAGCGTACATCTTTGCAAGCCTGCAAATAATTTTTGTCTATAGGCAGGTCATTTGTCAGGACAAAGACCAGTTTTGACCTGACAAAAAGCCAGTCTGGTTGGACAAAAAAAATTGTTTGTCGTTAGAAATTAAAAAGAGACATTTGAGACATTTTGGTATTTTAGTGTAGACACTTCGCCAAAATATTGGTTGTAAATTCGAAAAAGCTTATAAGTCAACTGAGTGTAAAATCGCTACTAGCACCAACAGGGGGACCTTTACATTACTTCTGGTATTATTTTACCTGTTGAAAATTGACAAATTTACAAACGTTTATACC